GAGCACATACTGGAGCATAGAACGAAGCACATCGCTCTGCGTTACTTCCTGGCTCGAGAGTTGCAGCAGCGTGGTCAGCTTCGTCTGCGTTACGTGGCCACTCGGGCCAACACTGCTGATATATTCACCAAGGCACTTCAGTCTGGTGATCATCAGCGTTTCTGCACTGTGCTAGGGCTTGTGCCCACTTTTCCTCACTTGCTGTAGGCTTTACTTGTACTGTGATCTATATGTATATACCTGCATGCTTGCTTTGCTAGGTGGAGATCACTGTGATGTTTGTGTTACATATATGCCTCTGCATGTGCACTGGCCTTGTGGCCCTTGGCTTGTGCTCAGTGAGTGTGGTGACGTTGTGATCCACCCTGAGCTTGCTTTGCCTTTCTTGACTGGTCTTGTGACCCCTTGCTCTCCCCCACTTTGCCTATGGGGGTGTGTCGAATGTCATATCTGCTACAGTTTGTTTAGGTTGTAGTGGGGTAGTTACTATGGGGTACAGTAAGTTTAGGGTTTCCTACTTGTACCCAACTCTTTCCTAGTTCAGTCACTCTTGTTGATTCTGACAAACGCGATCTACCTCAGCGCCGCAAAATACACCGGCACTATCGCCAAACGCTTCGGACTCACCCCAACTACCATCTCCACACCATATCGCTACACCGCCGGAAGTCACAAGGAAACCTCCGCTCTACTCAAGCCCGCCGGCATACGCGACTACCAACGAAAGCTAGGATGTCTGTTCTTCGCAGCCGTCACCTGCCGACCGGATCTCTCGTACTCCACAAGCCAACTCGCTACCTACCTCAAGAAACCTGAAGCAGAGCACATGGCGGAGCTCGACCGCGCACTACACTACCTCGTCAGCACCCCAACGATCGGACTAACTTACTACAAGACCGGAACTACGGCGCCTAAACTAATCGGCTACGTCGACGCTGATCACGCCGGCGACTCTGACAACAGGCGCTCACGCACCGGCTATATCTACCGACTCGAGCCTATCGGGCCCATCTCATGGCAGTCGAGCAAGCAGGAACTAATTGCTCTCTCCTAAGCTGAAGTAGAATATATTGCACTCTGCTCAGCCACCAAGGAAGGACTTTACATTCGCGAACTGCTGGAAGAGGCGAAACTAGCCCAGTTACCCAGCTTCTCTCTGTTCTGCGACAACCAGTCTGCAATTCGCATCGCGAACAAAAACGGATTCGCGAACAGGACGAAGCACATCGCCCTGCGATATATCTTCGTGAAGGACGAGATCGAGAAGGGAAGACTCGAGCTGTCCTACTGCCCCACGTCTGAGATGGCAGCTGATTACTTGACCAAGAAACTCGGAAAGCAGAAGTTCGAGTACTGCATGCTGCTGACTGGACAAAGCCACGTCACCAGCAACGACACTCCAGAAGCGAAGGGGAGTGTTGGAAACAAGTAATTTAAGCACCTCTGTCGTGTCGAAGCACTAAGTCGTAAACGAAGCGAAGTACACTGAAGCATCGGCGAGTCAACCCTCGGAGGTTGAACAACTGCTGGAGGTTACGCGAAAGTCCAAGGTCAGCGACCTTTGACCTGACAAGTACAGCGCGACAGCAACGACAAACAACTGACTCGTTACTGAGCAGTTGCCCGAGTCGTCACTGTATCGAACCGCTGTCAGAATGTTATATTTTTCTAGCCTGCAGTGGGGTACTCTATAGCGAGTATAGCCCAGATTAGGGTTTCCTATATGTACTCAACTGCCTGCTAGTGCAAACCTCTCTTTCCTGTTCTATCTTTCTGCCTCCTATTTCTCACATGCTATCAGAGCAGGTCGACCCTCCCTGGTCGATCCTGTGGGTGGGCCCACCACCTGCTTCCGCTGCTGTCCTGTTTGTCGCGCGCCCCGTGTCGCACGACGTTTTTTTTCTTCCCGCCACGTGCTCGGGGCGCATGGCGGTTTTCTGCCCGCCGCGCGCTCGGAGCTCGCGGCGGTTTTTTGCCCGCCGTGCGCCCCGAGGCGCGGCGGTTTCCTACCCCGTCGACCCGCGCACCGCCCCCCCTCCCGTCGCCTCGTCGCGGCACCCTGGGGGCCTGCGCGCTGTCCCCTCCAGCCGCCTCGTCGCGGCGCCTTGGGGGCCCGAGCGCCGCCCCCCCCCCCTCACGTCGCCTCGTCGCGGCGCCTTGGGGGCCCGCGCGGCGCCCCCTGCCGTCGCCTCGTCGCGGCACCTTGGGGGCCCGCGCGCCGCCCTCTCCCGTCGCCTTGTCGCGGCGCTTTGGGGGCCCGTGCGTCCCCCCCCTCCCGTCGCCTCGTCGCGGCGCCCTGGGGACCCGCGCGTCGCCCCCTCCCGTCGCCCGTCGAGGCGCCCTCGGGGGCCTGCGCGCGGCCCCCCTCCCGTCGCCCATCGTGGCGCCCTCGGGGGCCCGCGCGCTGCCCCTCCTGCAGCTCGCGAACCGCCCCTGCAGCCCGCGAACCGCCCCTGCAGCCCACGCGAGTCGCCCCTGCAGCCCGCGAGCCGCATCTGCCGCCTCCTGCCCTTGTGAAACTGCGGGGTGGCGGGTGTGTGCGTCGCCACTTGCACCTCCTCCTCCTTCGTCTCCCACTGATGCAGCTATCGCTGAGGGGGGCGGATGTGTGGGAGCCGAGGGCGTGGTGCTAGGGGGGTGACATGGGAGTGGAGCTAAGGGTGCAGCAGGGGGTGTGTGAAAGGGGGTCTGCGACAGTGGGGGATAGTGTGCGGAGGTATCCGTTGTGTCGCCAGCAGCGCCAGTAGTCCGGAGGCTACAATCTCCGGTAGCCCAGCGAGCCTGCTGTGCCAGTCGCCCGTGGGTCCGTTGCTCCTGCCGCTCGTCTTAGTCGCGGAGCCAGTTACTCCTGTAGTCCGGAGGCTACAATCTCTGGTAGCCACCATGTGCGCGCTCCTGTTGCCCGTGTGTCTGCGGCTTCACCCGTCGCCTCCAATCTCCTCTCCTCTCACAGTCCAGCCTCCTCCTCCTCACTTGCCCTTTGTGAATGCCTCTAGCTGTACTTGTGCTTGTGAACTATTGCTATGCCTGCTTGTTGTGCTGATTACACCCCACTTTGGCTATGGGGGTGTGTCAGAATGTTATATTTGTCTAGCCTGCAGTGGGGTACTCTATAACGAGTACAGCCCAGATTAGGGTTTCCTATATGTACTCAACTGCTTGCTAGTGCAAACCTCTCTTTCCTGTTCTATCTTTCTGCCTCCTATTTCTCACAACCGCAACAGCAACAGTAAAACAGTTATTAGCTATAACCTTTCATATTCCCTTGTACTCTTATAAAAGCTTGTATCTCTTTGCTTTAATCAATCTACTTTGCCCTCACATACTAGCGCAAGGTGGTTCACAGACTTTCATTAAACGCTTCCGCTATTACATTGTTCCTACTCAGAGTTTAGTCCTGCAAATATCCTAAGGGCTATCTCAGCCCAACATGAATAAGATTTCAATTCTGTAGTTATCAGAGCAACGTGATAGTGCAGCTTCACGAAGCCGAAAGATGTACCCATGGCTACGAGCTCGAGGTCATTGTGGCCCTGTTCTGTTGCTGCATCAGTTGTGCGGAACTCTCCGCACAACACCAGTTGATGCTTCGTAAAGGCTTCCATGGTAGGGCCTCGAATCCTATGTTACAAGGGCGCATTCCTTTAAACATGCTTGGGACCCTTAACTTCATCCCGAACCTAACCAGTACTGTGCTGTGCTATGTAGTTGTTTTAGCGCAAAAGTACGGTGAACCCGTTACACGGTGCTATCCCCCACTCCTAGGCAATCTGGATGCGAGGCTTGTGCTATCTCGGTCCCCGCCCAGATAGGGGATTTAGGGATAGCACAAGTAGTCACGGGCATGGATAAACATTCGATGGCAGGGTAGAGGGCAGTGCCCCAATGTCATCTGGCCCAAGCTGATAAAACATTGTTCAACTTTGGACGTTTGTTGAACCTAGGGGTGATTTTGGTGGCAGTAGAGGTTGGCGAAATTTCATGTATCTGGATTTTTCGTTTCAACGTACAATAAAGGTCCAAGAAGCCTTTGTAGTTGCGGAGAAGGTGGAAGGAAGACGTTTCGCGCTATCCTGGGGTCTTGACGATTTAGTGGAAGCAACACGCAACATTGGTTGTGATGTGTTGTCCACGGCGCATTCGCCGATTGGCAACAGAACAGGGCCTTCTTTTTCAGAAAGGGAGATGGTTATTACCGTAACTCACTGTAACGGAGTGTGCCATAGATAATTCACGGCGCGAGCTGTTCCTCCTGACTGAAAGGTCAAATTCGCGGTCCCAGAAATGGCCAGTTGCTGCTGGTTTCTTGCGAATTTCTGACGAATGGGCGAGCACCCACCACAAGAAAGCACACCACATACGTGCAGATCAACCAATGTGGAAGTGCCAGATGCATTTCGGCGCTGCTCATTGTTGTCCCATCCCAGCACGGCGTGTGGCATTCTAGAATCTTTTTGTGTACAGCAACAAGGGTGTAAAAAATGCGGATTTCGGCCCATCCACACACATACGTGTACTTCTCTGCACCTGGAAAGGGATATTGTCTCCACATCAAATTTCTACGCCACCACTGACTTGATCCTGCTCAGCGTAATTCCCCTGGAATTTAGAGGCGTGGCCGTAAACCGCTTGTGGCTGGGCATGAAAAGTTTGGTTAAACACCAACATCGGGTAACAGGACTGAAAAAATATGAATACAGTTCCGACTTCGGATGCATTTACGTTCACTATAATGTATTTACACTAGTGATAACCAGAGTGATGAACTTTCAAGTGTATTTTTACTGGTTTGGGAGTCGTCTTCTTGAATTTCTCGAGAACCCAGGCAACCCAGCCCTTCCCCAGCTCCACCACACATTCTGAAGATGAATGTGAAATGTCTCAACGATGCTCGTGTCCTAGCGCTCTCTCACCAACTCGCCCACCCTTGCTGCTGCTGCTTCAGCTGCTGCTGCTGCACACGCAGCTGTGTTCCGCGCACAGCGACCCAGGCAGCGCGCATGGCGCTGGCGGACGACCCCCCCGAGGTGTGGGTGGTGGACGTGGGGCGCGACCGCGAGGCCACCAAGGACGCGCTCGTCACGGCCGTCAATGACGCCACGGCCGTCATTTATCGCGTGCTGCTGCGACTCGTCACCACTGGCGCCTCGCGTATGTAGTAGCATGCGGCTTTCGCATTAATTCGGGCAATGTTGAAGCGCCGCGAGACTTCTCGCAGAACTCCCGAGCAATGCCACTTGTCGCTTGTCAGCGCGGAACCTCCGAATAGTTAGAATCTATCCTACGTCTCCAGGCTCGTTGTCGACAGAGGTGTACGTAAAGCGAGCCGTTCCTGTCTCATACCTCCACGCTGGATCCCGTGCCTTCTTAATGGCGTAGAACAGAGCGTCGTTCGTGCTGTCAATCGTGGATGGGCTATTGAGCCACGCGTCATGTGTCCTTCCCTTTGACACTACTATTCGTGCTCGCGGCTCGCATATTCCCAGATGCTTCACAACGGCGGCGTCATGGTCGTCTTTGATAGGCGTACTCCTGCGAGTCGCCGCGGATCACTGGATTGAGTTTGAACTGAGACACGAGGCAGGAGGCACGGCGTAGAGAGAATGTCCGCGAAGCGCTGAAGCGACAAGTGTGAGGCTGCTAGCTGAGGGTGTGTGCGAGACTTGGAGGACACTGGAGGGCAGACGGCAGGTGGAGGAAATGCGAGAGGGAAGGCGGCACAAGCAGTGATGCTAGACGGCAGCAGTGGAGTATCAGATGGCCAGGTGGTCAATAAAGCGAACAGGCGTCGACATGTCACATACCCCCCTCTCCGCTTCCCTCAGCAACCACACCACTCGTTTTGCCCTGTGCGTTGCACCCTCCAGAACTCAGCAAATCTGGCGCGTCGCACCGCTCCACTCTGGAACTCGTACGCGCGTCTGAGCTCATTACCGTCATCCCTTCTCCCCTCTTAAATGCATTTTTTTCGCCTTAACCGTCTCACTCTCCCTGCCCCTCCCTGCGCATTTTCTTGCCGGTGCAGCGGTTGGCGCAGGGCATGCAGCGGGAGGCGGAGCGGCGGGAGGAGTAGGCGAGGGTGAGAAGGGTGCAGTGGGTGAGGAAGAGCGGGACTCGCCGCATGCGATGCTGCTGCCGTACAAAGAGTTTGCAGAGAAGATGGACGTACGCGCTTGCTTCCCATCAACCACCTTCTCGCGCTCCTGCTTCTTCCCCCGTCTTTTCCCCTTCCGCTTCACCATGCACGCTTTCCATTCCTTCTCCTTTGACCTACAACACACACGCGCGCAACACACACGCGCGCAACACACACGCGCGCAACACACACGCGCGCAACACACACGCGCGCAACACACACGCGCGCAACACACACGCGCGCAACACACACGCGCGCAACACACACGCGCGCAACACACACGCGCGCAACACACACGCGCGCAACACACACGCGCGCAACACACACGCGCGCAACACACACGCGCGCAACACACACGCGCGCAACACACACGCGCGCAACACACACGCGCGCAACACACACGCGCGCAACACACACGCGCGCAACACACACGCGCGCAACACACACGCGCGCAACACACACGCGCGCAACACACACGCGCGCAACACACACGCGCGCAACACACACGCGCGCAACACACACGCGCGCAACACACACGCGCGCAACACACACGCGCGCAACACACACGCGCGCAACACACACGCGCGCAACACACACGCGCGCAACACACACGCGCGCAACACACACGCGCGCAACACACACGCGCGCAACACACACGCGCGCAACACACACGCGCGCAACACACACGCGCGCAACACACACGCGCGCAACACACACGCGCGCAACACACACGCGCGCAACACACACGCGCGCAACACACACGCGCGCAACACACACGCGCGCAACACACACGCGCGCAACACACACGCGCGCAACACACACGCGCGCAACACACACGCGCGCAACACACACGCGCGCACGCACAGCCGCCTGTGGCTGCTTCTCTTCCTTGCTGGTCACTTGTCCAGTGCGCTGACACTGTTCCAATCCCCTATGCGTGTACATCGCCGCCCGACCTTCCGCCCTCCACATCCATTCCCGCATTCCTTTTTCCTCAGCTCGTTCCAGCCCCACCCCTTACTCCACCACGTGCCAACACACAAGTTCATTTCAAACAGCTCTCTCTCCCCCTTCCGCACATCGTCCCTTCCTCGTCCGCTCAACCCACCATTCTGCCCCCTTGCTCATTCTCGTCCCCCTGTGGCCACCTCCCCCTGGTGTCCACCTTCCCCCCCTCCCTCTCCCCTCCCCTCCCCTCCTCCCCCTTCCTCTCTCCTTCCCTCTCCCCCTCTCACGGTCTCCCTCGGCCCTCCCTTTTTCCCCCCTGCAGGTGGCGGCGGACACGTTCGTGGCCCCCACGGACAAGCGCGAGAGGGCGCTGTGCCACGCCGTGCTGGCCGGGGAGGCCTCGCGCCTCTACATTGGCCAGCGCAAGTCAGTGTGGTGGAGGAGAAGAGTGGGGGGGGAGAGGGGAGGGGAATGGGGGTGTTTGGGGGGGGGGGGGTGTAAGTTGAGTCGACTCAAATTGCGCGAGAGCGCGCTGGTCGAGGAGGCCTCGCGCCTCTACATTGGCCAGCGCAAGTCAGTGTGGTGGAGGGGAAGAGGGGGGAGAAGGGGGGAGAAGGGGGGAGAAGGGGGGAGAAGGGGGGAGAAGGGGAGAGAAGAGGGGCAATACGGGGGAAGGGCACAGTGATGCACAGGGGAACGGGCGAGGGATTACAAGACAATGCAATGAGTGCCTCGTCTTGGGAGGGATGGGAATGTGTGGAGCACCATTCTCCGTATGCTTCTCCGTGGTGTGTCCCCTGATGTGGAACAAAGAGGAGGAGGATTAAGATTGATCGCTCACAGAATAGGACTCTGGAAGGAGTTATGCACGGTTTCGGGGCGGAGCAGGCGATGTGTTCTGGGTCGAGTTTTACTCGACTTGGGTCAAGTAGTAATTAACTGGGGATGGTTTTTCTTTAGTCTAATGTATGGTCGAGGTTTGAGTCGGGCGCGAATAAAAAAAAAAACTCGGGTGGAGTCAAATTCGACGCTGACTCAAAACCCGAGGGAGGAAGAGCGGGAGAATGAGATAGCTATTGGATGAGTATGAGTCGCCATAAATCTATGAGTGGTAGAAGTTGGGAAAGTAGAAGTTGGAGAGTTGGTAACCTTGAAATATCACATACGCATCCAGATACCTGAAGTGATTTGCTTTTTGTATCCAATCGAAAGTTATGCTCCCCTGCCCCTCCCTCCCCCCTCGCCCTCGTCCCCTCTCCTCCCCTTCTCTCCCCTCACCCCCGTGCAGGAAGCTGTTCAGCAAGAGTTCAAACCTACCGGCATACTGTGCAAAGCACCTGCCATACACATGCGACATCATAGTGGTGCAGGCCGGCCGCAAGGTCAAGCACTTGCAGGGCGTGCTCTCCCCTGACACCCTCGCCCCACCCGCCCCTAGAGCCTCTGCTGCTGCTGCCGCCGCTGCTGCATCTGCTGCTCCCGTTCCTGCGTCTGCTTCCGCTTCCGCTTCTGCCTCCCCCTCTGCGTCTGCATCTCCTGCTGCTGCCAAGGCAGGAGGCGTGAGCGCGCTTCTGAGCCGCTCTGCATCGTCCCGCTCTCCCTCCTGCAGCCCGCCTCTCTCCCCGTCCGCTTCGGGCCCCTCCCCCGCACAGCCGCGCATGCAGAGAGGGAGGAGCCTGGGCCGCGGCACGCTAGGGGCAGGGCCTAGACTCGCAGAGGGGGAGGTGGGGGGGCTGGCGCAGGTGGAAGAAGGGCATGAGGGGCGAGGGGCAGCAGGGGGGCGGGACGGGCGGGAAGGTATGGCACAGCTGTTGAACGAGAGTAATGTTCCTCACGGCAAGCAGGCAGCGCGTCTGGATACCGCTGCTGCCTCTCCTGCTGCTGCTGCCGCTGCTGCTGCGGCAGCAGGCATGGTGGTAGGTCCGTCAGCGGATTCTGGGGCAGCAGCGGCAGCAGGGGCAGCAGGGGCAGCAGGGGCAGCAGGGGCGTCAGGGGCAGGCGGCACAAGAGGGGTTCCGCCCCAGGCGTTGGACCTGAGGCACCTCGTGCTGGCGCGCAAAGAACTGGCCGCCCTGGCGTTTGCTCAGGCCGCCGCCACCACAGGGGGGGACGCTGGGGAGGCAGGGGGCGGGGGAGGGCGACGGGGAGGAGGAGGAGGAGGGGGAGGAGGAGGAGGAGGAGGAGGAGGAGGGTCCATCATTGGATGGGAGAGCCCGGGGCCTAGCGGGGGGCAGCAGCAGGGCTTCTCTTCTGCCACAAGCTCGGCAGTGAATTCCCCACGGCTCAAGCGTGCTCTCTCTGCTAGTTACTCCTCTGCTGCCTCCTCTGGTCTCACCCCAGGCCTCACCCCCGGCACAGGCTCTCCCGCCATGGGCTCTCCTGGCATGGCCATGGGAGTCTTTGGGTTTGCCTCTCCGTCTCCTGGCAGCAGCCTTCTGAATAGCCCTTCTGTGGCGTCCCCGCTTGCGCGGGCTGTTGCTGCTGGCGGCTTTGCTGGTGTGCCTCCTGCCGGGTTTCACTGGGGCTTGCAGGTAGCACTGCAACAGCAGCAGCAGCAACAGTTGCATCGGCTGAGCAATGTGGGTGCTGCTGCTGCTGCTGCGGCTGGTGGAGATGCAGCAGCAATGGAAGGAGTGGATGAGGAGTGGAGCAGTGGCAGGAGCAGCGGCAGGAGCAGTGTGGGGGCAGGGATGGGTAGGGAGGAGTTGAGGTCGGTGGCTGGTGGTGACACAGGCGGTGTGCTTGGGGGAGAGGTGGGTCCTTTTGAGGTGCAGGGTGTGGGCGAGGGGCAAGGGGAGAAGGGTGGTAGTGCAGTTGACAGGTCTGCACAGCAGACGTACCAGCAGCGGTTGATTCTGCTGCAGCAGCTTCTGGAGCAGCAGGAGCGGCAGAATCAGCAGCTTCACGAGCGATGGCAGCAGCAGCAGCAGCATCACCACCAGCAACAGCTGCTACACCACCACCAGACGCAGCAGCAGCAACAACAGCAGGAGCAACAGCAGCAACAACAACAGCAGCAGGAGCAACAGCAGCAACAGCAGCAACAGCAGCAACAACAGCAGCAGCAGCAGCAGAGGCAGCAGCATGTATATCAGATGGCCCAGAGTGGCTCTGTGCCTCCACGCTGCAGCAGTGCACCCCCGCCTGCCCTACAGCCACCTGCAGAACCACCCCTTGCTTCTGGAACAGCAGCAACAGCAGCAGCACCAACAGAAGCTGTTCCAAGCATTGCAAGTGGATCTCCCCTTCCTCCCACACCACCAGGCCACACAGCCGCGCACCTCCCCCCACACTCTCTCCCCCCGTCCGTCCCACCGCCACCACACCAGCCCCCGTTCCCGATCCCCTTCTCCCCATCCTTCCCTTTCGCCATGCAGCACTCGCTCTCTCTCCCAGCGTCCGTGCCCACGTCCCTGCCATCCATGGGCGTGCCAGCCGGCGCGAGGGAGCGAGCAGAGGTGCAGGTACTACTGGTGGAGCTGGCACGCGTGCAGCAGCAGGCGCGGTCTGCACAGGAGGCAGCAGAGAGAGCGGATCGCGAGGCGAGGGAGGCGAGGGAGGAGGCTCGGAGGGCTGCGGAGAGTGCTGCAGCGGAGGCGGAGAGGAGGATGAAAGCTGAGATGGAACGAGAGGTGGCGAAGAGGAAGGTGGGTTGAAGAAGGGAGGGAAGGTGGGGGGGTCAGGGGGAGAGGGATTGGGTGGGAGTGTGGAAGCTGGGAAGGGGTGGTGTTTGTGTGTGTGTGTGTGTGTGTGTGTGTGTGTGTGTGTGGGTGGGTGGGTGTGTGGGGAGGGGGGTGTGAGTGCGCTCTGATCAAACATACCCATCCCCACCCCCACCCCCCATCCCTCTCTCCCTACCAAACACCCTTCTCTTCCACCCACCCATACCTCCACACACCACTAGCACACACCCCACAAACCTCCACACGCATTATTAAGCCAGCTAGATCCCCTGTTCACGAATTCCTTGTTCAATCTTCCCCGCAAGTTACACATATTAGTGCTGATTCTGCAACCAAAGACCTGCTGGTTGCAGCAGCAGCAGCAACCTCTCAACACAGACCAAATCTCTCCTTCTCACCTTTCTGTTGAGCTTCCAAGGGAGGTCCAGGCTGATGTGGAAACTCGCCCAGGAGCAGCACAACAACAGCCATCGCACGCACAGCACCCACTCACTCTTCTCCCCTCCCCACCATCAACCGCCCCTCGCTTTTCAGGCAGACGACCGAGGAGTCATGGCTCAGAAGCAGAAACAGTCTCACACCACACCATACCGCACCATACCACACCACACCACTAAATATTCTTCTCCTACGCTTCTCCCCCATCTCCTCCACCGTCCGCCTCCCCTTCCCACCCCCTTCCCTGCCCGCCAGGCGGATGAGGAGTCGAAGCGGGCCGCAGCAGCAGAAGCAGAGGCAGAGCGCGTGCGGCACGAGGCAACCGAGCTGGCAGCAGCAGCGTCCGCCACTCTCGCCAAAGCACAGGAGCAATACGCACTCAGCCGACAAGTGCAGCAGCAGCAGCAGCTACAGCAGGAGTTCAGAGAGTATAGCATTGAGGAGCTGGCGCGTGCGTGCGACATGTGGGACGAGGAGAACCTGGTGGGCGAGGGCGGGTACGGCACGGTGTATCGCGGCATGCTGGAGCACTGCCCTGTGGCCGTCAAGTGCCTCAAGACCGCCAACAGCAACCAGGCTCTGAAAGAGTTCAAGAAGGAGGTGCGTGCAAGGAGGGGGGATGGGACGGAGAGGTATGGGGGATGGTGCGTGGAGCGAGGGGGGATGGGAAGGAGGAAGGGAGTGAGGGAAAGAAGGAGGAGGAAGGGAGGGAGAGAGTGGTGAAGACGTATGGAGGAGGAGGAAGGGGTGTAATTGCGAAAGGGTGGGAGGGGAGGGAATGGGATAGGAGGGGAGGAGCGGAGGGCTGGAGAGGGGAGGGAAAGGGAGACGAGGAGAGAGGATGGGGTGTGATGCTAAACTGGATTGGGTTAGCAGTTGCTGGTTCTGTAACATTGCTGCTGGGCTGCATTAAGCCTCAAAAGCATCTGCCTTGAGTTGTGCCATGCCCCTTCCCTCATGTCCCTCCCCCTCACGCCCCTCCCTCACACGAACCCCCCTTCATGCCCTTCTCACAGCTCCTCCAATCCACTCTCCCACCTTATGTGCCCGCCCTGCTTCCATTCCCCCTTTGCCTCACAATATTGTTCCTGTTTTTCCCTACCATTCCTCACTGGTTTCTCTCGCCTGCCTCTTCCTCTCCCTCCATACCCTACTCTCTCATCCTCCGCCTTCTCTTGCTCAAATCCCTCGACCCCTCACCCCACCGGTCCCCTCCTCTCCCCTTCTTCAACCCCCACCGTCTACCCCCCCCAACCCCACACCCTCCACCTTTCGCCCTCCACCCTCCACCCCCGACACTATCCCCCACCCTTGGCACCCCGCAACCCCCTCCCCCCCCGCCACCAGATGGACGTGCAGAGGGGGCTGCGGCACCCGACGGTGGTGCTGCTGATAGGGTGCTGCCACGACCCGCCGTGCCTGGTGTACGAGCTCATGCCGCACGGCTCGCTGTACGACCGCCTCGTGTGCGACCAGGGCTCGCCCCCCCTGCCCTGGAACCACCGCTTCAATATCTTTGAAGACACCTGCAAGGCTCTCATTCACCTGCACAACCGGTGAGCGTTGGGGGAAGTGGGGGGAGAGCCGGGGGAGAGTGGGGAGAGAGAGTGGGAGAGAGAGTCGGGAGAGAGTGGTGGGGAAGGGGGGAACGGGTGGGGGAAGAGTGAAGGGGAGAGTGGCTGGAGGATGGAAGGGGGTGACTGTGGAAGGGGTGCGATGGTCGTGGGCAGAGGGAGGCCAGGACGGGCATGTGAGAGGGAACTGCGTGAACCATCCCCCCTGCTCATCCCCCCCATCAATTCCCCAGACGTTCATCTCCCGTTCTCCCTCCTCCCAACCCCCCCCCCCCCCCCTCTCTCCTTCCTTCCCCCCCCCCCTACAGCCACCCCGCCATCGTGCATCTGGACCTGAAGCCAGCCAACATCCTCTTAGACGGCAACATGCGGGCAAAACTCGGTGACGTAGGTCTAGCACGCTTCATGGTGGGCATGGACAGCGGCAAGAGCTTCATACAGCAGTCCGTGGCCGTGGGCACGTTTGGCTACGTGGACCCGCACTTCCTGCGCACGGGCCAGTTCAGCCGCGAGTCCGACATCTACTCCCTCGGCATGGTTCTCCTCGACATGCTCCGCGGGATCGACACCTCTAAGAAACCCGCCGGAGGCGGAGGGGGAGGAGCAGGGGGAGCGGCGCGGCGGCACGTGGGGGACCGGATGGCGGCGTTGGAGGGGCTGGAGGCGTGTGTGGCGGCGGGGGATGTGGAGCGGCTGCAGGGGTTGCTGGATCCGACGGCTGGCACGTGGCCGCCGGGGATTGCGATGCGGCTGGTGGAGATCGCGCGGCGGTGCGCAGCGTTCAAGCGCAAGGAGCGGCCGGAGCTGTCGCGAGACGTGATGGCGATGCTGGCCGAGATGAAACCCGCTGTCATGCGCGCTGCCAAGCAGCAGAGGGACCTGGGTCTGCTCAAAGATGACTCGTGGGGTGGCGGCGGAGGTGGTGGTGGTGGTGCTGGTGGGATGGGGGTGCCTGGGCGAGGTGGGGGCGGTGCAGTGGGGAGTGCGACGACGCGGTCGGGCGTGCAGGTGCCTGATGGGTTCCGATGCCCCATTACCATGGTGAGACGGGAGGGGGGATGGGATGGCATGATGATGGTGGTGATGGTGATGGTGATGATAATCACATTCCTACTCTACCCTCCTCTTCCATCCATCCTTACCCCCTGCTCCTCCCTCCTCCTCTTCCCTCCCACCCTGCCTCTTCCCCACCCCTTCCCACCCTGCCATGAACAGGAGCTGATGCAGTGGCCAGTAATAGCAGGGGACGGGCACACGTACGAGCGGGCAGCCATGCAGCAGTGGCTACAGCAGCACTCCGTGTCCCCGCGCACGGGGCGGGCCTTACCGCACACGCACCTGCAGGACAACCTGCTCGTGCGCTCCCTCATTGCTGACTGGGTCGCCTGCCATGGCGGCCTGCTGCTCCGGTGCGTGGGGGAAACATGGGTTTAAGAAATGGGGGTATGGGGTAAGAGGGTGGGATGGAAAGCAAGTGGTAATTGTGTGGGGCAAGGTTGTGTGGGTGGACTGGTTGTTAGGGAGGAAGGGTGAGTGCCGAGGCACGCTTTGCTGTAATGTGCCCTAGCCTGCATCGCCTTCTCTCACTTCACATATTCTGCCCTGCCTTTGGACTCTCTGCTCCTTCTCCTCTTTGCCCCTCTCACCTCACAGTCTCCTCCCCACACCCCCCTCCCTTTGCACCCCTTCCTCAGGTCGGAGGTGCTGGAGGAGGGCTGCTCAGAAGGCCCCTCGGAGGAAGGCGGTGACACAACGGGGTACGCGGAGGGCGAGGGGGACGAGGAGGGGGCGCAGGACTGGGCGTCCTATGTGGAGGAGCTGGGGGATGACCTCCTCCTGCAAGGCGCTGGCCTGCCGCTGGGTATTCACAGTGAAGTGTGTGTCCCGGGCGATGCCAGTATGCCAGGAACAAACGGTGCAGATGGGCTCCCTGCGGTTGGCGCGCCTGCAGCCCACAAGGTGAAGGATGCGGCTTCAGTGTGAGCAGGCGGGGGGGTGGAGTGGAATTTGTGGGACTTGAAGCTGATGAATGAAGATAATATATGCTATTTTGAATGTGCTTGTAGAAAGAGTACGGTATGATATGGTACGGTTATCTTTTAGCAGAGATCGAACGGTCCGCACTGATCCAGATGTGTATTATAGATGTTTCTTCTGCAGTTAAAATTAACAGTATTTGTTCTACCTGGATTCAGAATCAAGAACTGAGTGGAAACTCTCTGAGTGATCCTTGTAGCCATGCGAGAACAAGCTTTTAGTACTTGCCGCGAGTCCGTTTATCAAGGGAACTCTGCGACACCCCTCGACCACCACGAGGCGCGCCGATCGCAATCACAATCACAGCAACCCGTGAGTGCGCGCAAAACGGCAACACCCGGCATGTCGGCGGCACCGGGGCACGCGCACACGCGGGTGACGACGGGCGAGGAGGGCGAGGAGCTAGACCCCATGGTGGAGCAGTTACAGGACTGCAGCCGCCTTTACGTCCGCCTCGAGGTGCCTCCTCCCCTCCCCTCTCCTTCTCTCCTCTCCTCTCGTCTCCTCCCCTCCCCTCTCCTCTCCTCTCCGCACCTCTTCTCCCGTGCTTCCCGCCAAACCGCGAGTCGCTATGCTCTTCCTCGTGGCCGTCATTATGCTCTTCTCCTCGCCTCCACGTCTCTCGGCGTTCGAAGCGACTGGGAGCGGCGGCCAGAGCGGTCCGACTGGGAAGCGCGAGGAGGTGGGTTTCTTCGCGGTATAGAGTGGATCCGTTCCGCGTGGTTCCGTTAGGCGCAAGGCGGGAGCGGAGTAACGAGGGGGTGAGATGGAAGGAACAAGCACCCACCACTGTAGAGATACACTGATGATCACAATATCTTGCCTCTTCCACGTTCTGGACAATCCCTCCTCGCGATCTGCACTCTCTCACGCTGTTTCGCGTCTCGCGTCTCGCGCCTCCTATCCCCATCCATGTTTCCCTCCCAGCGCGCGTGCAGGCGAAGGGCCAGCTCTGGCTTTTGATGTGATTCCTAAACCTCGCCCGCACAAGCAAATGCGTGCCGTATGCCATGTGCCTTGTGCGCTTTGCTGCTGTGTTTCTGTGCTGCCATGTGCGGTGTGTTGCTGTGCTGGCATGTGCTGTGCAGAACTGCCTTGTGGAGCACGACAGGGACTGGAGGAAATGCCAGGAAGGTGAGGCTTTGGAAAAGAACATCTGCCTGCACCCTCTTTTTTGTTCCTCTGCAACCGTCCCCCACTCATCATTCCGTCTCCTCCCAGAAATCTCACGTGTTTCCCTGTGTATCTCTCACCCGCTTCCGTGTCTCCTCCATCCAACCATGCTCGTGTGGAGCCCGTGTTTTCCTGCTCTCTCTTCCCGTCTGCTCCCAGAGGTTCGTTCCCTGAAGGTCTGCATGTCACGCCAACAAGCGCACCAGCAGCAGCAACAACAACAAAGTAGAGATCAGAAACAGTAGTCACATGAGCTGCTTATGCATCTACTTGTGTCCTGTGGATCGAGCTTCTCAGCTAGAACCAGCCTCGCTCGCATACCCTAAGCCTTTGCTTTAGTTGATGCTGATGCTGACCCTTTAGGTTGATTGGAGTTTCTATTTCTTCATTCTACTGATGCTCCATGCTCCTACAGTACATGTGTGGTTCTGGCTGTGGAATGGAACCAGCTAGAGCTGCTCAGCAGCATGTATATAAATCGTTCTTTTCTACAAATTTATCGGATTCATGTCGCACAGCTTTAGCGAGTAACGCGTATTTCGAAATTCCTTCCCGCGACTTTCTTGCGGAATTCCAAGCTGCCGTGCAAACAACCATCCAACACCGCACTCTCGCCTCTGCGCCTTCACATCTCACCATCCAGCGAATTTCACACTACTGCGACCGCATTGAGTTGACAACTGCATCGTCACTGGATCGCAGGTTCACGGAGCAACGCGAGTCGATCCTGTCAGGCAAGGAGGAATCGATAGTGCGAGTTCGAGGATCGGAGCTCCCGGAGATTTGAGTTGTTTAAAACAAAGGGGATCAGAGCTCCTGGACCAGAGCAGAGTGCTCCGCGCCGCGCCGATCTAGATTCGCCCAAAGCCTTCCTGCTGCTTGCCCTCTCTCTTTAAAATCAGCCGCTCGATCCGTAACCCAGTCCAATTCCCGAACGCCATAATGAGCAATAGTAACTCCGGCGCCGGCGCTGGCGGCGCGACGAGCGTGGTGGAGGAGGTGGCGGGGCTGGACCGGCTGCTGACGCGGATGGCGCTCACGGAAGACGCGAAGCTCGAGAAGGTTCTCTCAAAGCTTCTCCCACTCGCCATCTCCCGCCTCGCCTCGCCGCACGAGGCGTCGCGGAAGAAGGTGAGAGGCCGGCCGAGGGTCGGGGTGTGAGAGGCAACCTGCGTGCGGGGAAAAAGAGTAGGGGTGAGTGGGTGGGAGGCGGGGAGGGGCGGGGAGGGGCGGGGGAATTTATATATTCTGACTGGTTTTCGCGACGCGGATGTGGTCAAGGGAGGAGATGCACTTAATTCACGGCGATTGGGTGACTGAGTGGAGGTACCGATAGTTGCAGGCTCCAGTTGACCAGCCGGTGAGCGCGGAGTTGCGGGCTGTGTCGCAGTGCGTGCATGGGGTTGCAGGGAAGTCGATTGTACGGGTAGCGTTAAACGAGAAAAGAGAGAGGAGGGCATGTGTCGTCCCTCTCCTCTGCGTTTAGTGTCCGTCCTACTCGTTGCGTGCCTTGATTTGTGGTGAAGCATCTCAGATCCACCCGCGTAACTTCTCATCTTTCTCGCTCCTCTTCCTCCTTTTCCTCTTATTGTCCTCTTCCTCGCCCTCTGGGCCCCCACCTTCCTTTCCCCTGTAACCTCCTTCGGCCCCCCATTTCGTCCCCTCACCTCCGTGTGCCGCTACCCTCCCTGTTTGCACCCAACCCACCACAACCCAACCCACCTCGCCCCACCTCTACACACCACTGCACACGGGCTCTCTGCTCTCTGCACCCCCGGGGCAACGCATCAGGTGATGGAGATGCTGGCGCACATCAACAAGCGCGTGCGGGGGGCGTCCGCCATCCACCTGCCGCTCTCCGACCTCCTCGCGCTCTACTGCTCCGCCACAGCCACCACACCCGCCCCTTCCCCCTCCTCCACCTCCACCACCACTACCTCCGCACCCCTACTCCCTGCCCCACACCCCCTCACGGCGAGCTTCGCCCTGGTATACACAGACATGGCGTTTCAGCGCGCCACACCAGAGGAGCAGGCGGCAGCGGTGCCAGTGCTGCTACGGGGCATTGCCTCGCGCGCAGCAGCGCACCAGGACATGCTGCTGCGGTGCGCGCTGCAGGGCCTGCTGCGCTATGGGTCGCCAAGAGGGGTGGGGTCGGGGCCTGAGGAACAGCAGCTCGCTGCTACCTTCTCCTGGCTCGTCTCTTCGCCTGCTGCTGCTGGGCCGAGCACTGCAGATGCGGGTGCGAGTGTTGCTGGTGCTGGTGCAGCGGAATTGACTAAGGTGGCAGCGGCAGGGGCTGTGTCAGAGGGAGGAGAGGCGGCTGGGGGCAAGGCAGAAGCAGCAGACGCAGCAGGCACAGGCGGGGGGGCAGCGGGGAAGGCTGCTGCTGCCGCTGCTGCTGCGAGTGCTGCCCCTAGTCCGGACATGGCTGTGTGGCTGGAGTTTTGCCTGCAGGTGATGCTGCTGCCGGCCTCTCTCTCCGCTGCTGCTGCTGCTGCGGCGAATGCAGGGGCGGCACAGGGGCAGGGGGGAGCAGCAGTGGGGCTGGCGGCAGGGGGGAGAGGAGCGGCAGTGGGGGCAGGAGGTGCGGGGGCAGAGCTGAATGCGGCAGGGCAGCAGGGCGGACCCGCGCAGTGAGTGGGTGGGGATGTGGGGTTGTGCGGGAGTGAGGAGTTATGTGGGTGGGAGTGAGGGGGTGGTTAAGGGAATTTTGGGGTGAAAGGGTGTGTGGGTGAGAAGGTGTGGGGGATTGTGTGGGTGAGGGCGTGTGTGGTTGTGAAGGGAGGTTTGGGTTGAGGGGCTGTGAGCGTTTGAGGGGGTGCTCTATTCTCCCACCCACCGCCCCATCACACCCTCCCCTTCCATCTCCTCAACTCCCTTATCTCCCCCATCTCCCCTATCTCCCCACCTTCTTGTTCCCCTTCGCTCCGGGTCCCTCTGCCACACTCCACACAGGCCTCCTCTCTCTGACCACCCTGGGCTGTCCCTCGCGCAGCTGCACCGTGTGCTTGGCCCCGCGCCTTCCTCCTCGGCCGCCTCCCCTGCAACCTCGGCTTCCCCTGCTGCGCTCAACCTCATTCCGCCTGACGCTGTGGCTCAGAGGAAGGTGCGTGGAGGGGGCCTCCTTCCCTGGGGTTCGGTGGCCATTCCATTCTTGCTCCTCGCGTCCTTCCAAGTGCTTATTCTATTCGATTCAGCAGCAGGAGAAGAGCGTGGTTTGCGTACTACTAAACCATTTCTGTTTGTGTGTGAGAGCTGTAGTAGGGGGAGAGCTAGTGAGTGGACTCGGTTGTGAGCGGTGGATGCAGGGAACGTGGCGGGTGCGGTGTGGTTCATTCACTGGAGTCGCTCTTTCCTGCAGCAGGGAGGAGTCAAAACTCAAACCTCCTTGTCGTCTCCTTGGTTTTTCCTCCTCTCCACTCACACTCCCTCTCGCATCATCCCCCTCTTCCTCCTCTCCTCTCTCCCCCCGTCTACCTGTGTCCCGCTCGCCCACCCACTCGCCCTCTCGCCCCGTCGCTGTCCGCACCACAGGTGGCGGTGCTGAACTTCCTGGCAGCCGTCAAGGCGCCCGCCCATGCGTGCTACCTGCTCTGGCTCGTTGCCGCCACTGACAGGTGCGTGCCCGCGTGCTGTTGAGGTGGGTGGGGTGGGAATGGGAAGGGTGGGAGGGGTTGAAGGGGTGGGAGTGGTTGGAGGGGTGGGAGGGACTTTTGAGTTTGCTCAATGTCCCCCATGCGAGCTGCGTGCTCTGGCTCGTTGCTGCCAATGACAGGTGCGTGGGCGCGTGGGGTGGGTGGGGTTCGTAGGATGGGGGAGATGGGAGGCGTTGGGGGGGAATGGGTGTGGATGGGGGGGTTTGGGGGGGGTGTTTGTATGTCAGACGCTGATTTAACACAAGCACTCAGGTCGATCTGATTCGTTTCTCGTTCTTCATTCTTTCCTTGCTTCTTTCTCCCTCTCATTCCAACAAGGAGGTCTCTCTCACTCGCTCCAACCCCCCCGACACAAGCAGGCGTGCTTAAAGCCAATTTCTCACCCTTTTTCCCTCCATCCTTCCTTCCCCTCTCACTCGTTCCCCCCTCCCCCCATTCCCCCGGCCACCCGTGTCCCTGTCTGCTGTGGGCAGCAACGAGCGGGTGAACCGGCGGGGGGAGGAGCTGATGAAGCGGCACGGGGGGGCAGTGGACTTGGAAAGCGACAGGCTTGTAGCCGCCATGATGCGCCTTTACCAAGGTCATGCTCGCTCTCAGCCCCACCCACCCACCCACCCGCTACATGATGAACCCCTGCCACGCCGTATCTCAGTCGCTTGTGATCATCGTGAAGACGGGTGCAATCATACGACAGTACCAACCAATGTGATTTGGCGGCCCCTGCCAGCCCCAGTGGTCACCTTAAAAGTACCACCAAGTACCAATGTGCTCATCTGCTACTTACCGGTCCCATCCACGTCTCCATGCCTCCTCTCCTCCCGTCCCCCCCATCTCTCCTTCGCGGCCCCTGCTTCCTATGTCCGTCTCTCCAGCCGCTATCCTCTCCTGATGTCACCACCCTGCCCTCTCTCCATCGCGCTGCCATCGTGGCTCGACTCTCCTTCCATGTTTCTCTTCTCATCCTTCGCCACCAATCCTTTGCCTGCCATCCCTATACTCCCATCCCTCCCCCACCATGTCCTTCCATGCTGCGTGCTGCTTCCCATCTCTCCCCTACAAGCCTCTTAATCCCTTTCGACCTCTCCCCACCTCCTCTCACATCACCACCAGGCACCCCCGCCTCTGACCCCAAGCAGCCGCAGACAGCAGCAGCGGCAGTGCCAGCAGCGTCAGCAGCAGTGAAGCTGCGGCTGCTGGGGGCGTTTGTGCGCTCCATTGCTGCCGCCAACGCGTTCCCAGGCACCCTGCACGTCATTTTCGATGCTATCTATGGTACTGTGTGGGGGGTGGGTTCTGGGGAGGAGGGAAGGAAAGGGGGGAGGAACAGCGTGGGGGAGTGGTGGGGGCAGGGGGGTGGTTGAACCGTGTGTAACCCATGACACACGAGCTGTGACCCATGACCCTTGACTCGTTGGGAGCCTGCTCGTGTGGCACTGAGCTGTGGCCGGTGCTTCTGCGGGCGGGCGGGTGTGAGCAGTGGCAGGGGCCACTGCTGTCAGGTTGGGGCGGCGGTGACTGCAGCATGCTCGTTCCCTGCCGGCCGTATTGCATTGCACTGCGTTGCGTCCTGCTGCGCTACCTGCTTGTTCGCTTTCTGATTTTATTTCAAAAAGCTATCTTTGCTATGCTTGTCTGCCTGGGACCACCACAGCCTGACCTTGTCACGTGCCCTGTGTGCCTGTGGGCGTGCCTAAATCCGTCCTTGGACGCGTGCCATGGCTGTGTGCACTCCTTATCCTGTGTGTGCATGGGTGGGTATGGTGCAGGCGTGGGGGCATCAACGCGCAGCAAGCAGCTGGGCATGGAGTTTGCCGTCTGGGTCTTCAAGCATGTGCGTGCTGCTGCTCCTTGCTGCTTGCTCCTTGCTGCTTGCTCCTTGCTGCTTGCTCCTTGCTCCTTGCTGCTTGCTCCTTGCTCCTTGCTGCTTGCTCCTTGCTGCTTGCTCCTTGCTGCTTGCTCCTTGCTCCTTGCTGCTTGCTCCTTGCTCCTTGCTGCTTGCTCCTTGCTGCTTGCTCCTTGCTGCTTGCTCCTTGCTCCTTGCTGCTTGCTCCTTGCTGCTTGCTCCTTGCTGCTTGCTCCTTGCTGCTTGCTCCTTGCTGCTTGCTCCTTGCTCCTTGCTGCTTGCTCCTTGCTCCTTGCTGCTTGCTCCTTGCTGCTTGCTCCTTGCTGCTTGCTCCTTGCTCCTTGCTGCTTGCTCCTTGCTCCTTGCTGCTTGCTCCTTGCTGCTTGCTCCTTGCTGCTTGCTCCTTGCTCCTTGCTGCTTGCTCCTTGCTGCTTGCTCCTTGCTCCTTGCTGCTTGCTCCTTGCTCCTTGCTGCTTGCTCCTTGCTCCTTGCTGCTTGCTCCTTGCTGCTTGCTCCTTGCTCCTTGCTGCTTGCTCCTTGCTCCTTGCTGCTTGCTCCTTGCTGCTTGCTCCTTGCTGCTTGCTCCTTGCTCCTTGCTGCTTGCTCCTTGCTCCTTGCTGCTTGCTCCTTGCTGCTTGCTCCTTGCTGCTTGCTCCTTGCTCCTTGCTGCTTGCTCCTTGCTGCTTGCTCCTTGCTCCTTGCTGCTTGCTCCTTGCTCCTTGCTGCTTGCTCCTTGCTCCTTGCTGCTTGCTCCTTGCTGCTTGCTCCTTGCTCCTTGCTGCTTGCTCCTTGCTCCTTGCTGCTTGCTCCTTGCTCCTTGCTGCTTGCTCCTTGCTGCTTGCTCCTTGCTCCTTGCTGCTTGCTCCTTGCTGCTTGCTCCTTGCTCCTTGCTGCTTGCTCCTTGCTGCTTGCTCCTTGCTCCTTGCTGCTTGCTCCTTGCTCCTTGCTGCTTGCTCCTTGCTCCTTGCTGCTTGCTCCTTGCTGCTTGCTCCTTGCTCCTTGCTGCTTGCTCCTTGCTCCTTGCTCCTTGCTCCTTGCTCCTTGCTGCTTGCTCCTTGCTCCTTGCTGCTTGCTCCTTGCTCCTTGCTGCTTGCTCCTTGCTCCTTGCTGCTTGCTCCTTGCTCCTTGCTGCTTGCTCCTTGCTGCTTGCTCCTTGCTCCTTGCTGCTTGCTCCTTGCTGCTTGCTCCTTGCTCCTTGCTGCTTGCTCCTTGCTGCTTGCTCCTTGCTCCTTGCTGCTTGCTCCTTGCTCCTTGCTGCTTGCTCCTTGCTGCTTGCTCCTTGCTCCTTGCTGCTTGCTCCTTGCTGCTTGCTCCTTGCTCCTTGCTGCTTGCTCCTTGCTGCTTGCTCCTTGCTCCTTGCTGCTTGCTCCTTGCTCCTTGCTGCTTGCTCCTTGCTGCTTGCTCCTTGCTGCTTGCTCCTTGCTCCTTGCTGCTTGCTCCTTGCTGCTTGCTCCTTGCTCCTTGCTGCTTGCTCCTTGCTCCTTGCTGCTTGCTCCTTGCTCCTTGCTGCTTGCTCCTTGCTGCTTGCTCCTTGCTCCTTGCTGCTTGCTCCTTGCTCCTTGCTGCTTGCTCCTTGCTCCTTGCTGCTTGCTCCTTGCTGCTTGCTCCTTGCTCCTTGCTGCTTGCTCCTTGCTGCTTGCTCCTTGCTCCTTGCTGCTTGCTCCTTGCTGCTTGCTCCTTGCTCCTTGCTGCTTGCTCCTTGCTCCTTGCTGCTTGCTCCTTGCTCCTTGCTGCTTGCTCCTTGCTGCTTGCTCCTTGCTCCTTGCTGCTTGCTCCTTGCTCCTTGCTCCTTGCTCCTTGCTCCTTGCTGCTTGCTCCTTGCTCCTTGCTGCTTGCTCCTTGCTCCTTGCTGCTTGCTCCTTGCTCCTTGCTGCTTGCTCCTTGCTCCTTGCTGCTTGCTCCTTGCTGCTTGCTCTTGCTCCTTGCTGCTTGCTCCTTGCTCCTTGCTGCTTGCTCCTTGCTCCTTGCTGCTTGCTCCTTGCTGCTTGCTCCTTGCTGCTTGCTCCTTGCTCCTTGCTGCTTGCTCCTTGCTGCTTGCTCCTTGCTCCTTGCTGCTTGCTCCTTGCTCCTTGCTGCTTGCTCCTTGCTCCTTGCTGCTTGCTCCTTGCTGCTTGCTCCTTGCTCCTTGCTGCTTGCTCCTTGCTCCTTGCTGCTTGCTCCTTGCTCCTTGCTGCTTGCTCCTTGCTCCTTGCTGCTTGCTCCTTGCTCCTTGCTGCTTGCTCCTTGCTCCTTGCTGCTTGCTCCTTGCTCCTTGCTGCTTGCTCCTTGCTGCTTGCTCCTTGCTCCTTGCTGCTTGCTCCTTGCTCCTTGCTGCTTGCTCCTTGCTCCTTGCTGCTTGCTCCTTGCTCCTTGCTGCTTGCTCCTTGCTCCTTGCTGCTTGCTCCTTGCTCCTTGCTGCCTTGCTCCTTGCTCCTTGCTGCTTGCTCCTTGCTCCTTGCTGCTTGCTCCTTGCTGCTTGCTCCTTGCTCCTTGCTGCTTGCTCCTTGCTGCTTGCTCCTTGCTCCTTGCTGCTTGCTCCTTGCTCCTTGCTGCTTGCTCCTTGCTCCTTGCTGCTTGCTCCTTGCTGCTTGCTCCTTGCTCCTTGCTGCTTGCTCCTTGCTGCTTGCTCCTTGCTCCTTGCTGCTTGCTCCTTGCTCCTTGCTGCTTGCTCCTTGCTGCTTGCTCCTTGCTCCTTGCTGCTTGCTCCTTGCTGCTTGCTCCTTGCTCCTTGCTGCTTGCTCCTTGCTGCTTGCTCCTTGCTCCTTGCTGCTTGCTCCTTGCTGCTTGCTCCTTGCTGCTTGCTCCTTGCTGCTTGCTCCTTGCTTGCTCCTTGCTCCTTGCTGCTTGCTCCTTGCTGCTTGCTCCTTGCTCCTTGCTGCTTGCTCCTTGCTCCTTGCTGCTTGCTCCTTGCTGCTTGCTCCTTGCTCCTTGCTGCTTGCTCCTTGCTCCTTGCTGCTTGCTCCTTGCTGCTTGCTCCTTGCTCCTTGCTGCTTGCTCCTTGCTCCTTGCTGCTTGCTCCTTGCTCCTTGCTGCTTGCTCCTTGCTGCTTGCTCCTTGCTCCTTGCTGCTTGCTCCTTGCTGCTTGCTCCTTGCTCCTTGCTGCTTGCTCCTTGCTGCTTGCTCCTTGCTCCTTGCTGCTTGCTCCTTGCTCCTTGCTGCTTGCTCCTTGCTGCTTGCTCCTTGCTGCTTGCTCCTTGCTCCTTGCTGCTTGCTCCTTGCTCCTTGCTGCTTGCTCCTTGCTCCTTGCTGCTTGCTCCTTGCTGCTTGCTCCTTGCTCCTTGCTGCTTGCTCCTTGCTCCTTGCTGCTTGCTCCTTGCTCCTTGCTGCTTGCTCCTTGCTCCTTGCTGCTTGCTCCTTGCTCCTTGCTGCTTGCTCCTTGCTGCTTGCTCCTTGCTCCTTGCTGCTTGCTCCTTGCTGCTCCTTGCTGCTTGCTCCTTGCTGCTTGCTCCTTGCTCCTTGCTGCTTGCTCCTTGCTCCTTGCTGCTTGCTCCTTGCTCCTTGCTGCTTGCTCCTTGCTGCTTGCTCCTTGCTCCTTGCTGCTTGCTCCTTGCTGCTTGCTCCTTGCTCCTTGCTGCTTGCTCCTTGCTCCTTGCTGCTTGCTCCTTGCTCCTTGCTGCTTGCTCCTTGCTGCTTGCTCCTTGCTCCTTGCTGCTTGCTCCTTGCTGCTTGCTCCTTGCTCCTTGCTGCTTGCTCCTTGCTGCTTGCTCCTTGCTCCTTGCTGCTTGCTCCTTGCTCCTTGCTGCTTGCTCCTTGCTCCTTGCTGCTTGCTCCTTGCTGCTTGCTCCTTGCTCCTTGCTGCTTGCTCCTTGCTGCTTGCTCTTGCTCTTGCTCCTTGCTGCTTGCTCCTTGCTGCTTGCTCCTTGCTCCTTGCTGCTTGCTCCTTGCTCCTTGCTGCTTGCTCCTTGCTGCTTGCTCCTTGCTCCTTGCTGCTTGCTCCTTGCTCCTTGCTGCTTGCTCCTTGCTCCTTGCTGCTTGCTCCTTGCTGCTTGCTCCTTGCTCCTTGCTGCTTGCTCCTTGCTGCTTGCTCCTTGCTCCTTGCTGCTTGCTCCTTGCTGCTTGCTCCTTGCTCCTTGCTGCTTGCTCCTTGCTCCTTGCTGCTTGCTCCTTGCTCCTTGCTGCTTGCTCCTTGCTGCTTGCTCCTTGCTCCTTGCTGCTTGCTCCTTGCTCCTTGCTGCTTGCTCCTTGCTCCTTGCTGCTTGCTCCTTGCTGCTTGCTCCTTGCTCCTTGCTGCTTGCTCCTTGCTGCTTGCTCCTTGCTCCTTGCTGCTTGCTCCTTGCTGCTTGCTCCTTGCTCCTTGCTGCTTGCTCCTTGCTCCTTGCTGCTTGCTCCTTGCTGCTTGCTCCTTGCTGCTTGCTCCTTGCTCCTTGCTCCTTGCTGCTTGCTCCTTGCCGCTTGCTGCTTGCTCCTTGCTGCTTGCTCCTTGCTGCTTGCTCCTTGCTGCTTGCTCCTTGCTGCTTGCTCCTTGCTGCTTGCTCCTTGCTCCTTGCTGCTTGCTCCTTGCTGCTTGCTCCTTGCTCCTTGCTGCTTGCTCCTTGCTCCTTGCTGCTTGCTCCTTGCTCCTTGCTGCTTGCTCCTTGCTGCTTGCTCCTTGCTCCTTGCTGCTTGCTCCTTGCTGCTTGCTCCTTGCTCCTTGCTGCTTGCTCCTTGCTGCTTGCTCCTTGCTCCTTGCTGCTTGCTCCTTGCTCCTTGCTGCTTGCTCCTTGCTCCTTGCTGCTTGCTCCTTGCTGCTTGCTCCTTGCTCCTTGCTGCTTGCTCCTTGCTCCTTGCTGCTTGCTCCTTGCTCCTTGCTGCTTGCTCCTTGCTGCTTGCTCCTTGCTCCTTGCTGCTTGCTCCTTGCTGCTTGCTCCTTGCTCCTTGCTGCTTGCTCCTTGCTGCTTGCTCCTTGCTCCTTGCTGCTTGCTCCTTGCTCCTTGCTGCTTGCTCCTTGCTCCTTGCTGCTTGCTCCTTGCTGCTTGCTCCTTGCTCCTTGCTGCTTGCTCCTTGCTGCTTGCTCCTTGCTCCTTGCTCCTTGCTCCTTGCTGCTTGCTCCTTGCTGCTTGCTCCTTGCTCCTTGCTGCTTGCTCCTTGCTGCTTGCTCCTTGCTCCTTGCTCCTTGCTCCTTGCTGCTTGCTCCTTGCTGCTTGCTCCTTGCTCCTTGCTCCTTGCTCCTTGCTGCTTGCTCCTTGCTGCTTGCTGCTTGCTCCTTGCTCCTTGCTGCTTGCTGCTTGCTCCTTGCTGCTTGCTCCTTGCTGCTTGCTCCTTGCTGCTTGCTCCTTGCTGCTTGCTCCTTGCTGCTTGCTCCTTGCTGCTTGCTCCTTGCTGCTTGCTCCTTGCTGCTTGCTCCTTGCTGCTTGCTCCTTGCTGCTTGCTCCTTGCTGCTTGCTCCTTGCTGCTTGCTCCTTGCTGCTTGCTGCTTGCTCCTTGCTGCTTGCTCCTTGCTGCTTGCTCCTTGCTGCTTGCTCCTTGCTGCTTGCTCCTTGCCGCTTGCTGCTTGCTCCTTGCTGCTTGCTCCTTGCTGCTTGCTCCTTGCTGCTTGCTCCTTGCTGCTTGCTCCTTGCTCCTTGCTGCTTGCTGCTTGCTCCTTGCTCCTTGCTCCTTGCTCCTTGCTCCTTGCTCCTTGCTCCTTGCTGCTTGCTGCTTGCTGCTTGCTGCTTGCTGCTTGCTTCGTGCTGCGTGCTGCGTGCTGCGTGCTGCTTGCTGCTTGCTGCTTGCTGCTTGCTCCTTGCTCCTTGCTCCTTGCTCCTCGCTCCTCGCTCCTTGCTCCTTTCTCCTTTCTCCTCTCTCCTTGCTCCGTGCTCCTTGATCCTTGCTGCTGCTTGCGCTATTCATGCTCGCCTGAATTAATGCAACCTGCTTCACTTCTATCACCTACCCACTGCATTCGCATGCCTCTCTCACCTTTTCTCTCCCTCCCTCCCGCCCCACTGGTCTGCCCCCGTGCCCCCATGCCCCTGTGCCTCTGCCTCCCTGTCACCACCAGGCAAAGGAGGACCGGCTGCGGCCCTTGTCACCAGTCATCCTCTCCTCGCTGCTCAAGCTGCTCTCGCAGTACGACGCTGCTGAGTCCCTGGGTGAGTGTACAAAGGGAAAGGAGAGGGAAGGGGAGAGCAGGTAAGCGGGGGGAGGTCTGTTTCATAGGCGCCTCAAAAGCAGCCTCAAGCTCCTCCCGCAATATGATGTTACTGAGGCGCTGGGTTAAGTGTGAGTGGAGTGGAGGGGAAGGAGGGGATGGGGGAAAGGGGGGGAGGAATCTCTGTGATTGAGGCACCTTAGCGACAGAATTAAGCTGCCCTTGCTCGGTCTGGTATTGCTGAGGCGCTGGACCTAGGAGAGGCACCAAAGTAAACATACACATACACGCTGTGGACAGAGAGTGTCCTCGCTCTCCTAGGCTGCAGATCCACGCACTAGCGTACACGCGTATATAGTCTACGCTAGCGCGTGGATCTGCAGCCCTCTCCGCTTATGTACCCCTGCGCTGCCTTCTGCACACCTATGTACGGCTTACCATTCCCCACCCCCTTTCCCCCTTTTCCCCCTCCTGAACTCCTCGTGCCTTTATGCGTGTCCCCATGCAGACCCCCCATCGCAGCAGCTGCAGGCATTCACGTATCGAGCCATCGCTCAACTGGCAGAGCGCTGCCCCTTCCTTGTCAGGTCTGCCTGCCGCCCTCCCGCCTCCTCTCAGAATCACACCCCCTTCCCCCTCTTTCACCCCTCTCCTCTTCCGCCCATCCCCCGTCGCCTGCCTTCCTCCCTGCCCTCTCCTCTTTCAGCTCTTCTGCTGTCCCCGCTTCCTCCCCTGGGTCTTACTTGTATCCACCCTCTCGCCATTTCGTTGCTCCTTTCATTCCCCTCTGGCCTTAACTGAACGACATGCATTGGCCAATTCACTAATTTGTTCAATCCCGAATATGGCATGGTATGGCATGGCTTGGAATGGCATGGCAGGGGGGATGCGAGCATGTGTGAGCGCATGTTGGTGGCACTGGAGGCATGTGAGTCGCCATCCCTGCGAGTGGTCATGCAGGACGCACTACTCTCCCTCGCGTCCGCTTACAAGGTACGCCTCTCCTTTCCTTCCCCTCCCCATGTGCCTCACACCTCACACCTCCAGCAGCACTTCCCACAGTCAGTCAGTGTATGGTCCTCTAAGACACACCTGAAACCGGCAGCACCTGAGACCAGCAGGGCTGTTCGCCAGCTCATATTGTACCAGTTTGTAGGATGGAGTGGCTTCTACGTGCCATGCCATGGCTGCTTGGTGGAAAATTGGAAATGGGAATGTAGCGTGGTCCCTCCCTCCATTGCCTTTGGTGGAAGTGAAGTGACTTAGGATGCGTATTCATAGCTGATTCATTCAAACGTCACTTCCCTCCTATACGCCACAGAAGGTAGCTGTGATGGTGTGGTGTGTGATGTGATGTGAGCCGTGCTGAGAGCACAGGTAGCACTCACTCCAACCCTTTCCCCGGCCCGCATTCCTCGACATTTTGTCTGTTGTGCTCGTCCATCTCCTCTCCCCCTCCAACCCGCACCCCCTGACAGGGCTGTTCACCCAAGGTGTTGGAGTCCGTTGAGGGCCTGCTGCTCAAGCACTGCTCCTCTGTGAGTGCCCGCCTGTGCTGGGGTGTGGCATGCTGCGGTGTGGCATGCTGCGGTGTGGCATGGCAACGCCCTTTTTATCTAGGCATTGTACTTTGACACGTCATTTCATGCCGTCACGCTTTTCTGCATTTTACCTATTATTCACAATCAGCCCCTCCTCTTCCCCTCCCGCTGCCTGCCTCTTCCTCATCCCCATCCACTTTCTCTCTCTGTCCACTTCCACAACTGCGCATGAACCCTCCATTCACCATGGGCATGCACATTACTGCTACTAAATCTCCTCATGACACCCCATTTTTCCTCATCTTCACAACTCAACCTTATTACACCCTGCTCCACCCCACTCCACCCCACTCCACCCCTCTCCACGCCTCCAGCCAGTGGAGGCGGTGCGGTACTGCACGCTGCAGTGGACCATGCGCCTGCTCTCCCTCTCCTCTGCGCCCGCTTGCTTCCTCGCGCTGCTAGCTACAGCTGACAACAAAACCGAGATCAAGTCAGTGCCAGCCACAGGCACACCACAGAGAGGACCTTCAACGGTTTTTGTCCAGTTGGGAAAAGCTTTGTGGTTGAAGTTGCAGGGAGTCAGTTTTTTGGTTGCACATGCACTCGTTCACCCCCTGCACACTCCCTGCACTCACGTCCCCGTCACATCTCTCACACTCTCACATCACATGTCTCAGAATCTATTCCCCCATATGAGCAAACACCTCGCCATCCTCTGAACCCATCCAAAAATCCAAATCCCAATTCCCAATCCCACCCCCATCTACCAGGGAGGCAGCCCAACGCTTCCTCTTCCCAGAAGCAGACACACGCACCAAAAAGCCCACCGCCGCCTCTTCCCCCTCTCCCCTCTCCACGCCCTCCCCAGCTTTCGCCTCCTCTTCCTCCTCCTCCTCCGCCTCTGCCGCCCCGCCCCCCTCTCTCTCATCGCTGCTCGCGTTCATATGCAAGCAGAAGCCCAAGGCAGCTGCACCCGTGCCCCTGGAGGGGGAACAGACGCTGCTGCTACCTCCTGCTGCGTTTCTCTCCGCCATTCGCTTCCTGCTGCTGTGCTGGCGCGAGGAGCGACGGGGAGGAGGGGCGAAGGGGGAGAGGGAGGGAGGGGCTGGGGAAGAGGGAGGAGGAAAGGGTGAGGTTGGTGGGAGCAGTGGTGGTGAGAAAGGGAAGGAGAAAGTAGAGGAGAAAGCAGAAGCGAGTGCAGAGGCGAAAGCAGAGGGGGGAGCGGAGGCGGGATCAGTGGAGGAGCGGCTGTGTGTGTTTGTGGAGCATGGGTTCGCACGTGATGCCACGTGGGAGGTGCATGCCGAGGCTGGCAGGGCGCTGCTGGAAATAGTGGCCGCTCATCCGCAGGTGAGATGGGTTTTTGAGGCTGTGTGTGTTTGTGGAGCATGGGTTCGCACGCGATGCCACATGGGAGGTGCACGCGGAGGCAGGCAGGGCGCTGCTAGAAATAGTAGCTGCTCACCCTCAGGTGAGATGGGAATGGGGGTAGGCGAACCGCGAGGGGCTTTTGACAAGGGCGGAGGGGGATAGGGTGAGGGTTGGGGACGAATGGAGGGGAAGAAGCCAAAAAGAACGTGAAATAGGCAGCGGGGGGCAGAAGACACCACAGCGTTTCCTCCTTTGTACCGCTCACTATCCCCCCTTCACTCTTCACTCCCCTTCCCATGCCCCTCCCCCGCACTTGCCCCCCTCCTCCAGTTGGCTCTGCGCTTCACCGCGCGTCTTCCGTGGCTGCAGCGCTTCCTGTCGCACAACGACCCGTCAGTGCGAGCAGCCTTCGCCAAGCTCATGGGCGTTGTGGCGCGGGGGTTGCCTGCCCCTGACGCCCACGCGCTGCTACTCAAGCTGCAGGGGGGCCTGGCAAATGAGGGCGGGAAGGCGGGGATCAAGTGAGTGCGGGCAGGCGTGTGGTGGTCGGGTGTCGTGTTGTTGTTGCTGTTTGGAGGAGGGATGCGCGCAGGATGATCCGTCCTTCCTCCAAACGATCCTTTGTATCAATGCGGGTAATGGTACCATGGTCTGTCTCCATCTCTCCATGTCTCTCCGCTCTTTCTCTCCCCGCACCTCTCCTTTCCTGCATGGGCACGCCTTGCTGTTGCTCATCCTACCAACTTATCATTCGCTCTTCTCGCCCTGCGTCCGCCCTGCTACTGTGTTGTGCGTGTGTGCGTGTCGTGGTGGCAGGGAGGAGGAGGCGCAGGGGCTGATAGCAGCACTGGGCTACGTCACAGCCACAGCTGCCGACGCTGCAGGGGTGAGTGTCCCCTTTCACACGCCAAACTTCAACACTCGATTCTCGTGTATGTACCTCTCATGTGTGCTGCTCGGCACGTCGCCCCTTCACACCCTGGCTGTTGGTGTTGGGAGGACGTGCCGCAACAATGGCAATGCATCATCCATCCACTCCCCCGTTCCACCGCGCACATAACCCTTGAGGTGTCACATCACGTTACTAACTCCTTCTGAACGAGTATGCCCCTTAAATTCTGCCGTTACACCCTCTCTCTCTCCACTGCTGTTTCCCACACTTGTCACCCATGCCCCTTCCTTCCTCCCGCTCGCCACTCCCTCTTCTCCCCCTTCTTCCCCCTTCACCACTGCAGCGAGCATCATCCGTGGATCTGCTCCTCTCGCGCCTGCTCTCCCCCTCATCAGCGCCCTCCACCCTGGCCCTCACCGCGCAAGCCCTGGGCCTCATAGGCCTCACAGGCCCCCTTCCGCCCCCCTCCTCCTCCACCTCCTCCTCCTCTCTCAAGGATGAAGCAGCACCTGAGGGTACTGCGAGTGGAGCGGTGGGAGAGGAGGGGAGTGGGGGAGATGTGGGAAAGAGTGGTGAGGATGGGGAGAAGGCAGCGAGTGGGGAGGAGGAGGGGCGGAAGAAGAGGAAGAGGGGGGATGTGGTGGAGCAGCTGGCCTCGTTACTGTCACACAGGGATGACAAGGTGGTGCAGAGTGCGGCAGGGGCGCTGGGGATGATGAGCTATGGCGACCCTCAGGGCGTCGCCGATGCTGCTCTCACGGCACTGCTCACTCTCGGCCGATGCAAGGTGAGTGTTGTGTCGACTCAAGCCTTGGTCACATAGGGATGGCAAGGTGGTGCAGAGTGCGGCAGGGGCGCTGGGGATGATGAGCTATGGCGACCCTCAGGGCGTCGCCGATGCTGCTCTCACGGCACTGCTCACTCTCGGCCGATGCAAGGTGAGTGTTGTGTCGACTCAAGCCTTGGTCACATAGGGATGGCAAGGTGGTGCAGAGTGCGGCAGGGGCGCTGGGGATGATGAGCTATGGCGACCCTCAGGGTGTGGCGGATGCTGCTCTCACTGCTCTGCTCACTCTCGGTCGATGCAAGGACAGATAAAGAGAGTGGAGGAAGAGGGGAGGGGGAAGGTGGTGTTGTGTGAGCAAGTACAAGAATTTGTAAGAAAGGGAGAGTGGCTTGCTAGGTCAATTCCTCTCCTTATTGCTCTCCCAAAGCACTCTTCTTATATGCTCTGCCATACACACCCTTTCAATGCCCCACCCACCCACCCCAACCCTTTCTGCACTCTGTCCTCCCCCTCCTCACCTGCAGAACGAGGCAACGTTGCTAGCAGCAGGCGAGGCGCTGGCGTTTGCGTGGGGTCCAGTGGACTGCCCTCAATTTGGCCCGGCACTGCTGTTCTCCGGCCCTCACTCCTCCCTCGCCCCCATCTCTTCTACCCTTCCCCTCACCTGCAGAACGAGGCGACGTTGCTAGCAGCAGGTGAGGCGCTGGCGTTCGTGTGGGGTCCGGTGGACTGCCCTCCCTTCCGCCCCACCCTGCTGCTCTCCGGCCCTCACTCCTCCCTCGCTCCCATCTTCAACGACGCTGATGACGCTGCTGCCGCCGCGCTACAGGACAAGGCGCGCCGCCCTAAGCGGGAAGTAGATGTGCAGATGGGTGATGCGAGTGGTGAGGCAGGAAAGGAGGAGACGGCAGGTGGGCAGGGTGGAACAGGAGCAACAGCAGGAGCAGGAGCAGGAGAAGAGATGGAAAGAGAGAAAGAAGGGCAGGCTGTGGCTGATGTGGTGATGGGGGAAGGGGGGCAGGAGACCTCAGCGGGCGAGGGGAGGAAGGAGGGAGAGGGGAGCGAGAGGGTGTGGGGAGGAGAGGCGATGGAGGCGAGGTGGGAGAGCATGAGGAAGGTGCTGGTGGAGGAGCTGCTGGTGAGCACCCGCAGTGAGGAGCGCTGTGCGGGGGCCGTGTGGCTCATGTCGCTGCTCTCCTTCTGCGGCCACCACGCCTCCATGCAACGCCTGCTGCCGCAGCTCCAGGTATGCCACCTCCCTTGTTGAGTCGACTCAGAAGCCGCATGCTGAACCAGCTGCAGGCAGGTACCCTGCTTCCCTGTTCCACCACTACAAGTCACCTTGTCCACCCAACCACCCACCCCCTGTGCCACGCTGGGAGTTCTTGATACTGGTTCAAGCCCCTCCCTCTACCGCCCTATCACACACCCACCCACCCCCCTGCTCGCACCACCACCTCTACCAGGACGCGTTCAGTGCACTGCTGGGCGACTCCAACGAGCTGACCCAGGAGATGGCGTCCCGTGCCATGTCTCGCATCTACACACTGGGCGATGCAGGCACCAAGCAGCTGCTCGTTGCTGCTCTTGTCGCTAACCTCACTGGCGCTGCCGGGCAGAAGCGCAGCGGGAAGGTGGGAGAGGGGAGTGGGAAGGGAGGGGGAGTGAGCGGGGGAGACTGAGTGGGGAAGAGTGGGGAGTGAGGGGGTAGTGGGAAGGAATTGAGTTTTCACTGTGCATGCCTTCTTGCATGTTCTCCTCTCATTTCTCACCTCCTCCTTTTGCCTCCGCCCCGCTCTCCTTCAACTCTCATTCATCCCCCCTCACCCTCCAAACCTCCTCCACATCTCCCATCACCCCACCCTTCCTTACTCCCCTTCCTCCTTCTCCACCCACTCCCCTTCCTCTTTCTCCCCCCACTCCCCTTCCCACCCACTCCACAGCTACTGGGCGACACAGAGGTATTCACAGAGGACTCAGTCGCACGCAACACCTCCTCCTCCTCCATGCGAGCAGGGGCGGCGGGCAGCAGCAGCAGCGCGGCGAGCTCAGCAGGGCGGGCGCAGAGCAGCGTGGGCGTGAGCACGTACCGCGAGCTGTGCAGTGTGGCCACGGACATGGGGCAGCCCGACCTCATCTACCGCCTCATGGACATCGCCAACCACCATGTGCGTTATGTGCCCCTCTTGCCCTTACCATTAACCGGGGGAACGGGTTGGAGATGGGTTTGCGGGGTGGGGAAGGGGGAAGCAAGTTGTGGTTGAGTCGAGCTGTGCAGTGTGGCGACGGACATGGGACAGCCCGACCTCATCTACCGCCTCATGGATATCGCCAACCACCACGTGCGTGCTCTGCTCTGCTATTGCCCCTGACTTGCCCTTGCTCCTGCTGTTTGCTGGAAAGGGAGGGGGGTGGGGAGGGAAGAGGGGGAGAAGGGTATGGGGGGGAGGGGAAAGGACGGGAATGGGTTTGGGTGGTGGGGAATGGGGGAGGGAGAAGCAAGGCAGCTGGTGGTTGAGCTGTGCAGTGTGGCGACGGACATGGGACAGCCCGACCTCATCTACCGCCTCATGGATATCGCCAACCACCACGTGCGTGCTCTGCTCGCTCCTTCTGCTGTTCTTGCCTTTGCCCTCGCTCCTGCTGTTTGTTCTTTTCTGGGGAGAGAGGAGAGGAGGGGACAGGGGGAAGAGGGGAAGAAGGTTCTGAATGGGGGGAAGGGGAAGGGATGGAAGCGGGTTTGCGGGGCGGGAAAGGGCATGTGGTGGCTTGGCGCGTTCGTCATGTACCTTTCCTGCCTTAGCCCTTGCAAGTGCTGCTCTTTTGGTCTTGACAGAATGGTATGTGCAGGTGTTGCTGCCTGTCAGTCAGTTGCTCTGTACGATCTACCCGCATGTTAACCATATCGGTTTCAACGTTCCGTCTCTGCCAACTCCCTCTGCCCACCCCACCCCGACCCAACCGCTCCTCCACCCACTCACATCTCACCCCACCCCGCCCCCTTCCCACCCTTCTCCCCGCCCCCTTCCTCCCAACCCCTTCCAGGCGGCCCTGAACTCCAACCGAGGAGCCGCCTTCAGCTTTGCAGCAGTGGCAGCAGAAGCCGGCGCAGCGCTAGAGCCGCACCTGCCGGCACTCGTCCCGCGGCTGCTGCGCATGATGTACGACCCCAACCGCCCCCTCGCCCAGGCCGCAGGGCACATCTGGCGCGCGCTGGTGCGCGACCCCAAGGCCACAGTGGACCGGCACTTCTATGAGATTGTGAATGACCTGATGGGGAATGTCACGGGGCGGCTGTGGCGCAACAGAGAGGCTGCGTGCCTTGCGCTTGCTGACCTGCTGCCTTCGAGACGGTTTGCAGAGGTGCGTGGGGGAATTGGGGGCGAGGGAGGGGGGGTTGGGCGGGGTGGAGGTGGGTTGCGGGAGTGGAATAGGAGATGGAAATGGATGGATTTTGTGTGAGGTGATTTGCTTTTGGGGGGTTGTTGACCCGCAGTTTCAATCACACTTCGTCTTGTAGCAAGTTGTTCTTTTCAGCACTCCAGTAGTACCCTTGTCCCACCACACCGCCAGCTCCTTGCATGGGGAGGCATGTTATGCTAACATGATGATATCATGTTAACACCTTCCTCGTGCATGCTGCTGTACTAACTTGTTTGTGTATATGAACGCCATGCCTGAACAGCACAACTGCATCCGAATACATATCTGGGTTCCATATACCCCTGTCCATGTGCTCACATGCCCACTTGCTCACTTGCTTACATGCCCACACGCCCACACCTCCCCCTCCTCAGATATCAAATTATTGCAGGGGGGGGCGGGTAGTGGCACAAGGAACTAACCATGTCAGGTTTTGTTTGACTACTCACCCCACCCCCAGGTATCGGGGCACCTGCAGCAGGTGTGGGTGGTGTCATTCCGTGCGTGCGATGAAATTAAAGACAGTGTGCATGTGGCTGGGGAGAAGTTCCGCCTCGCCGCCACGTCGCTCACCGACTTTTGAGACGCCTCGTAACTAACCATTTCGGGTTCCGTATGACTCATCCCCCTCACCCTCTGCAGGTATCCAGCCACCTGGAGCAGGTGTGGGTGGTGTCATTTCGTGCGTGCGACGACATCAATGAGAGCGTGCGTGTGGCAGGGGAGAAGGTGTGTTTCCCCTAGGTATTTTTGAGACAACTCACTGACACGCCCACGCATTTCCCTGTTCCCCTCCACAGGTTTCCAGTCATTTGGAGCAGGTGTGGGTGGTGTCATTCCGTGCATGCGACGACATCAAGGACAGCGTGCGCGTGGCAGGAGAAAAGCTGTGCCGCGCCGCCACATCGCTCACCGTGCGCCTGTGCGACCCCACGCTCACTCCACGCGCCGACGCACACGCAGCGTGCAGCGTGGTGCTGCCCGTGCTGCTGGCGCAGGGCATGACCTCGTCCGTGGGCTCTGTGCGCCACCTCGCCCTCTCCACCACTGCCAAGCTCGCCAAGGTGGGTGGCAGAGGGGGAGGAAGGAGGGAGAGAAGTGAGGGGCGTTGTTGAGATATCTCAGCAACAACTTGCTGGCGCTGGGCATGACTTCATCCGTGGGCTCTGTGCGCCACCTGCCTCTCTCCACCACTGCCAAGCTCGCCAAGGTACCCGTTGGGGGGGTAAGGGAGGGGAATTGTTGTACAGCAAAGTGCTCCTGAAGAACTCTTTGTTGGCACACGCAGGGAATGGCGTCCTTGTTGCGAGTTCTCAAGAGTGACTCTGGTTTGTGTGGGATGGGGATTGTTGTTGAAATTCTTCCCACAGCGCCCTCCTGGCGCAAGGTAGGGCCACCACTGCGTGCCACCACTGCGTGCCATCACTGCGTGCCACCACTGCGCGCCACCACTGCGCGCCACCACTGCCAACTCACCAAACTCCCCCACTTCTTTGTTCTTCCACCGTCCACCACCTCTCCCCATCGCAGGGAGCGGGAGCATCGGTGCAGCCGCATCTGGCAGCGCTGGTGCCGGCCATGCTGGAAGCGCTCTCAGGCCTGGAGGACCAGAACCTCAATTACGCTGAGGTGCGCGGGGTGGAAGGGGTAGGGGTAGGGGCAGGGGCAGGGGCAGGGGCAGGGGCAGGGGCAGGGGCAGGGGCAGGGGCAGGGGCAGGGGCAGGGGCAGGGGCAGGGGCAGGGGCAGGGGCAGGGGCAGGGGCAGGGGCAGGACGCCGGGGCCAGGGCCGGGGCCGGGGCGGGGGCGGCTTGGGCTAGGGCTGGTTCTTGGGTGACGCATGTAGTGTAGTGTGGAGATTTTTGCAGGAGAGCAGCAGAGCACGCACATGCACAGGAGCTTGTGGTGATGTGCGCATGCACGTGCACAAATGCCCATCTGTCTTCTTCGTTGACTGTCTCATCTGCCTGCTTGCCAAGTCTTTTTTTTTTAGGCGACTCAGAAATGGATGCCTCAATATTTTCAACACCGCTGATCCCTGTCTCATCTGCCTGTGTGAGCCACCTCCATTCCTTCACCCCACTGTCCCTCTTGTCCGTTGCACCCTCCCACGCCCGCCCTGCCGTTCCTCTTTCCACGGCACGGAGCAGCAACACGCGGAGAGGGTGGGCATCAGCAGTGAGAAGCTGGAGGCGGCACGGCTGGCCATGTCACGAGACACGCCCATGTGGCACACACTCGATGCGTGCCTGCAACAGGTGCGTGCATTGTTCCTTAGTGCTTGTTGCTTGCTGCTCACTGCATTTGGTTTCTGTCTCCAGCTAGCTACTCGTGCGGTCCATTAGTCAATTCTTCCCTGTACCTGTGTGCTTCTCTGTCTGTCTTTCTGTGTATCCGTTTCGATCCCGTTTCTGCTGTTCCCTCCACCTTTTTGCTATTGCCCTCCACCTGTGCTCTGCTATCCTCTACCTTCCCCTGCTACCTACCCTGTTACCCTGTTACACTGCTGCCCTGTTGCAGGTGGACGAGTCCTGTCTGCCTGACCTCCTACCTACACTCAAGTCCCTCACGCGCTCCTCTGTGGGCCTCAACACCAGGTGCCGCCCCTCCTCCTCCTCCCCATTCTGCCCCTTCTATCATCCTACTCCTTCCTCTCATCTCCACGCAACCTGATCCCGTCCCCAACCCAATGCCTACTCGTTGCCATAATCCCCATTCCTACATTCGACCAAAATCTCACCATCCCTCCTGCCTGCTTCCTCACGAAACGGGCCCCTTAACTTCCTGACCTAGCTCGAATGCCGCCATCACCCCCCTCAGAGTCCGCATCCCTCTGCATTCCTCCTCATCCCTTCTCATCCCTCCTCATCTCTCTGCACCTCCCCTCCTCTGCCCTGCCGCTTCCCCTCCCCCATCAGAGTGGGTGTGGCTCGCTTCATCTCGCTCCTCATCCCGCGCGCCGGCCCCACAGCCATGCGCCCGCACGCCCCCGCCTTCCTCAAGACCCTCACCCTCGCTCTCTTCTCCGAACGCACCTCCGCGGGCCGAAGAGCCTTCTCAGCAGCAGCAGCCGACATGGCCAAATGCGCAGGGGGTGCTGCAGTGGAGAAAACAGTGGGGGAGACGTGTGGGAAGTACCTGGGGGAGGAGGCAGCAGGGCAAAAGGACGTGCGGCTGTGCTGTGCGCTTCTGATGCGGGATGTGGGGAAGGCGTGTCCGGACGATATGCCACCGTGCCACCACGTGTTGCTGCCCACGCTGCTCCTTGGACGGTTAGTCAGGAGGGTCAGTCGAGGGGATGCTAGCTAGCTCACCTGCTCCTTTCCCTTCCCCCTCTCCTCTTCCTTCCCCCCCTGCTCGGATGCCTCTCCCCCTCCTGCACTTCCCTCCACAGCTATATAACCAACCATGCATGCTCGCATCCTCTCCCTGCTGCATGCATGCAAACAATTGCCTTTTATATGAGCGCACCTTCCCTCTTCTACGCCTGCCTCTCTCCACCCACTCTCCCTCACTTCCACCCCTTTCCCCCCCTGACGTGTCTGTTTACCAGGCACGATGAGGACGAGGCAGTGTGGGCAGTGTGGGAGGAGGCGATTCTTGGTCGTCTCAAATTTCACGCACCCACTTCTTCCCCCCACCCCCTCTCCATGCCTGTTACCAGGCACGATGAGGACGAGGCAGTGCGGGCGGTGTGGGAGGAGGCGTGGGACAACGTGGGAGTGGCGGCGTCGGCAGCAGTGAGGGAACACGCAGGGGACATTGCTCCCACGCTCACCGCTGCCGCCTCTTCCTCCTCCTGGACCCGCCGCTGCCAGGTGAGGCGAGGCCACACCGCTGCCAGGTGAGGCTAGAAAGCTGCCAGCTCCTTCCTTTTCCCCTTCCCCCTCTCCATCTCTGACCTTCTCTCGCGTCGCCTCTCCTCCCTTCCACTCCTCAGCCCCCTCGTTTCCTTTCCTCGCGTCCCACCTCTCCCCACTGCAAACAGCAGCAGCCATGGAGGCAGTTTTGAAGGCCATGAGCGTATACATTCCACACACGGCCCTTGCTGCAGTTCCTCTCCTCCCTCTGCTTTTAGTCAGCTCAATTATCACTCCTCCCCACCTCTCCTCCTCGCCCCGCCTTCCCCCACCCCTTCTGCTGCAGGCAGCAGCAGCCATGCAGGCAGTGGTGAAGGCCATGGGCACAGACACCCCCCACACCGTCCTGCTGCAGTTCCTCTCCGCCCTGCTGCCACAGCTGCCAGGCCGCTTGTGGGAGGTGAGATAAACCCCATTGAAAGTACTCTCTAAGCATCTAAACCTCCGCTTGCACTTGCCTTTCATGCACGGCCACATGCATTGCTGCTACGATCCATTCCATTCGTTCGTTTATTCTCGTCAGCTAGGTGACATTGCATGTACCATCCTTGTTCCTTCATCTTCCTCCCTCCACATTGTCTCTCTACACCCACTCGTCTCTTCCTCTCCCTCCTCCGCCTCCTCCCCCAGGGCAAGGAGCAGCTGCTGCCAGCCATTGCGGCCATCTGCACTGCATGCCCCTCCGCTCTGCTCTCACTCTCACTACAACCGTCAGCAGCCACACAGGGAGCACCAGCAGCAGCAGCAGAGGCAGGGAAATCAGCAGCAGCAGATGTGGTGGCAGCAGTGCTGGCAGCGTGCGGGCGCAACAAGGCAGCGTTCAGACTGGCAGCTCTGCAGAGCCTGCACAAGGTGTGCTGTGCACTTTCTTGCATGCACTTTGACGCGCAAGTTACAGTGCCTGCACGGCAAAGATTGACAATAGCAGTATCACAATATCTGGGTACTCTGTTGCTTTCTGCGCCCTTCAGTCGCAGTTATCCAATCCCTTCTGTCTCTCCACCCCTCGCCATTGCACATTCCATGTTTATTTTGCTCCTGTGCCACCACCAGTTGTGAGTTGAATTAAAGAATCGCCCTCCTCCCTTTCACCAACAGGTCTTGCAGGCTTTCTCGCCCACACCTCCTCCGAAGCAGCAGTTGTCGAAACCATCTGCATCACCAGCACCAGCAGCAGCAGCAGCATCAGCTCCAGCATTGGACCTGCTACCTCTGGTGGCACCAGGCTTGATTGCGCTCTTTCCACCCGCATCTCCCGCCACTGCACTTGCTGATGCTTCAAAAACTGCATCTGCTGGTATGTGGTTTCATGCAATCTTCCCTGAACATGTCTGTTGAAAGGTAGTTGCTTGTCGTTTTTTCTTGTGCTGGGGAGAAGTGTGGGTTCATTGAGAATGGATGTTTTCACAAGACGTTGTTGCCTTGTTTCTGTATGTCTCTGCCTTCGCAACTGATTATCACAGCTCTTTTCCTCACCGTTTCTCGTATTCCATCCTCCCGCCCTTCCCCCCATCTCCCTCCACACACCCCCCCCAATTTCAAGCAGCAGAGCCAACAGCAGAAGCGCGGGCAACAACAGCAGAGCAGCAGGAGGCGCTGCTAGCATGCGTCTCTGCAGCTCTCCCCTCCGCAACACCCACCTCCCTGCCGCTATACACAGCACCCCTGCAATCAGCCCTCTGCGCCCTGCTCTCCTCCAATCCCGTCTGGACAGGTGTGCATGACCCCCTCTCATCTTTGACTCCTGTCTGTTGCACTTGTCTCGCCACGAAGCTCGCCTTTTGTTACACTGGTGCATACAATGTCGCTTTCCCTGTCCCGAGTTCCACCGCACTGCACTGCACTGCACTGCAGCGCACTGCACTCACACTGTTGTAACTCTCATCCACTCGCACTCAGGAGTCCCTGCCATGCCTTGCTGCCTCGCAATCGTCGTCCTCCCCTTCTGAACCCGCTTCCTTTGGCAGTCAAGCTAGCAGCACTCAATACGAGCGCCACGTTCCTAACTGCTCTTCTTAAGTTACCCTCGGACGTAAGTTCATCACCGGAAGGATAATGGCCAGTACTCAGCCTTATGATTCAAACGCTAGTGGTTATGAGTCAGCCAATGGTCGTTCTGACTCAGCCAATGGTCGTTCTGACTCAGCCAATGGTCGTTCTGACTCAGCCAATGGTCGTTCTGACTCAGCCAATGGTCGTTCTGACTCAGCCAATGGTCCTTGAGCATCGAGTGGTTTGAATGTGTGGGCTGCATTGCGTCGATCACCGCATATGTAGATGAATGCTTGCAAGCAAGAGATAGGGAGATTCTGCTCTCATGTGCCCTTCATACGCCCTTCGTGTGGTCTTCACATGCACCCTGCACGTGTTCGTATGGCCATCACCGCATGCCGCTGCATACATGCATGGCCATCACCGCATGCCGCTGCATACAGGCACATGTGCAGGCTGCTGTGCACAACACGGTGGCCCCCTTCCTCCCCAGCTTCATCGATGCTCTATCTGACACCAAGCGCTCCCAGGCAAGCAATCAATCCGCCCAACACCTCCACCCACCCCCTCCCAACTCCAGCCCTTTCCTTCCCCCTCTTCCCTCTCCTCCCCTTTTTTCTCCCCCGTCTCTCAACACCCAGTTAGGTCCCCTTCCAAGTTTCCTGTCAGTTGTTGCTCGATCCCTCTCCGCAGGCCCTTCCTTGACTCACTCTCCACATGCCTCTCACATAAGCGCTTTTTGTGCACACACATATGTGCACATACGTCGTCTCTGTGATCTGCCCATTCTCGTGCATGTGCCCATGAGAGAACAGACCCGTCAAGCAGCCGTGGAGGCAGTGCAGGCAGCCACAGTGTGCCTGCAGCACCACAGCGCCCTTGAGGCTGCGGACCGGGATTCCTTCACTGCTGCTCTGCGCGATGCTGTGAAGGTGGAGAAGAGTGAGGCTGTCAAGATGGCTGCTGAGAAATGCCTGGAGTTGTTGGGCGGCATGGTGGAATGAAAGAGCATGGGTGGAGGGGGGAAAGAAGATTTGTGGATTTTCAGCGAAGACAACAACAGAAGGCGTTAATCGATTACTGGTGGCGATCTGAGTATGAAAAACACGATGTTAATTGCCTGGCACAACACAACACTATAATCACAAGATGTGTCACATACTAACTTCCTTATCATAACATGATTCCATTTGAGAGGTGTTAATTAGCAAAGAAAACACATTTAATGAGCAGCAAATTTACTTGAAGTACCATTTGATTTCAGCAAATGGCCAAAACACTTCGTACTCATGATGATGTCAGGGCTTGTGTGTGCCTGCGTCTGAAGGCGCGGAACCCGAATCGCCCATTTTTTCAGAATGAGCACCACATTTGGGCAGCTGACAAGATTTTGCTTCCATCAGCCCCGACCAACTTTCGGAAAACTGGTTCTTGTGTGCGTATGACCGACAAATAAAAGTTTGTTTTAGGCAGCCCTGAAACCCAACGGTTGCTCCCGCGCATTTCACTCGGAGCCGCGGTCTGACTGACAGCCAACATGCGACGCGGATGATGCTCAGCCCAGCCGTCAACACAACTTATCCACCAGCAATCACTCTAGGTAGCAACTCAGGCATTCCTGCGATTGAGTAGAGTTGACGGAGTTGGCAGTTCTGACTAGGCAGTGTTTGCTAGTGTTCAACGAGACGTAGGATTGTTGCGTCCTGAGTCCCAGGCGACCCGAAGCTTTCCATCGGTAGCCATCATAACATCCTCGCCCATCACATCCCCCTTGACTAGAGCTTCTTGTACCCATCTCCCAGACGAGCTTTCTGGTGGCAGAATTTTAGCATCTGTCCACACGCCACCAACACAGCAGGCGAGCTCTAATTTCCTCCCGAGTCTTGTTACCTTCGCTGACTATCAATTTTGTACGATAATCATGGGCCCTCCCAAGAGATCCTCACAGCGTGCATCGTCTTCCACTCTCCCAGTCCTGTGCGCGCTGCTGCTGCTGCTGCTCCCATGGCAGCACGTGGCAGCGCAGCTACCGCACGACATTCCCACCATCCCCATCGGCTTCATGCTTCCCGACCCTGACCACAGTTCCGCCATCCCCTCGTCGCTCGCCAAAGAATGGTGCGCACTCGCTCTTCCATCTCGCGCCTGGTCTTTCCTTCCTCTCACGCGTCCGACCGTCTTCAGCCGCACATTCCTCGTCGCGTTTCTCTCCTCTTCGTCTGTTTTCCATTCAAAAAAGAATCACAAAAAAAGTACCGAATGACGACGTTGTCCGTGCGGTGAGGCAGCTTTAATGGATTGGGGAGGGAAAGTAAGGGAAGGGATACTGACTTAAAACTCTTCTCTTCCTCTTTCATTTGGGGCCACTGTATGTTGTTGTGTGACATCACATGGCATCACATGGCATGGAATGGCACGAAATGCATGGATCTCACGGCATGGCATGGTGCGACTCTCTCGCAGGATGAGCGCAGCACAGGTGGCGGTCGACGTCCTCGCTCCAGACTACATCGATTTCACCATCGAGCCCATCATTGTCGAAACGGACTGTAACGCGGACAGCGCGCGTGTGGCCGCCAAGTCGCTGGTGGAGCGCGGAGTGGTGGGCGTGGTGGGACCCGCGTGCAGCGAAGCGGTGGTGGGCGCGGACGAGGTGTTCCGCCGCCAGGGGATCCCCTTCGTGTCCTTCGCCGCTACCGCCGACGTCTTCCGCCAAGGCGTGCAGTTCTACTCCTTCTTCCGCACCGTGTATGCGCCGCCATTCCATACCGCTCTCTGCTCTCGCCCCTCCTTGACTATCCCTACCCCCGTTCTGCTCTACTTTGACTGCGAGTGTTCTTGCATCATTTGCCTGTTCAAACCTTCACCTCAAAGCTCCTGTTTTTCTCCACTCCCCCCTTCCGCTCCCATCCCCCTCCCTCCCGCCTTCTCTGATATGTTCGTGTGCTTGACATCGCTCTTCTCCTCTCCTCTCATATACCAATCCTTCTCTCTTCCCTTCCCGCCGTTCCCTTATCAGGTTCGGCGATCGCCACCAATCAGCGGCCATTCGCAACGTGGTACGTGGCATGCTGATTGCTTGAAATTGCATGGCACACCATGGCACGACACAGCGTGGCATATCCGCGGGCATGAAAGGACACGCTTTAAAATGGTTGTTGGCTGTCGCACGTAACAGAGTTACACCCTGACAACTCTTGCAGCTTCCTCCGCCCCATCCTCCTCGTCCTCTCCCTAATCGCGCTCGCCACTGTCGCAATCCCACTCCGCCAATCTCATCTTCCTCCTTTCTCCTCTCCTCTGCTCCCTTGCACTCCTCCTCCGCGTAACCCTCCCTTCCCCGCGTGCGTCCTCCCGCAGGTGCAGCACTTCGGGTGGAAGAAGCTGTACGTGTTCTACTCGGACGACACGTACGGCCGCGCGCTGGGCTACGACGTGTCCGTGGAGCAGGACGCGGGGGTCGCCACGCACCTCATCCGCGTGCCCTACCCGCCGCCCGCCGATTGCTCCGCCCTGTTCGCCGCGCCGGACGGGAACGGCGGGTTGCTTCAGGGCGGGGAGGATACGGCGGTGGTGATGGCGGTGCTGCCTGCTGTGGCGGAGTGCCTGTGGAAGGCCGCTGATAAGCTGGTGAGCGCGGGTTTAGGGTTTGGGAAGGAGGGGTGACTTTTAAGGCGCCTCAAAGGTGGGGAAATGTGGGAGTCTGAGGGCCTGCGTGAGACGGGTGGGGATGGGAAGGCGGGGAGGATGACGGGTAGGCAGGTGGGGCTTGTGGAGAGCGCGAAGCGGGAGGGCGGGAAGGCGGGAGGCGGGAAGGGTGGATTGATGTGCACCTGGGCGCTATTTGTACCGCCCATCCCATGCCTCGCACATGCACCTGCCACCCGCCCGCAACCCTCCTTTACCCGACCGTCCTTGCCCCACGAGCCCCCCTTCCCTCGTTCCCTCTCCCCTGCGCGCAAAGCCTCCTGGCCTACATTGCACATCCACAACCGCCCTTCCTCACCTCTCTCCCTTCTCCCGTCTCCTCTCTTCCCTCTTCCTTGCCCTTCTCTCGTCACCCCTGTCCCCTCCCCCGTTCCCCCATCAGAACTTACTGCAGTACCCCTGGTGGTACGTGGGCACGGACGGCGTGGTGGCGCTCGACTTCTCCGACGCCGCCCCCAGTTCCCCCGAGGGCGCGCTCGCCGCCAAGCTCCGCGGCGAGCTGGGCGTGGCGCCATTCGGTCAGTTTCCGCCACTGCTAGCTCCTTTCCTCCTGCTGGGCTAGCACCGCTATCCCCTATCAAGCCATTCTTGCTCCTTCTTAACTTCCTCGTCCGCTGTGTTCGTCGCCTTCCTACCCCCGTCCCTTCACCTCCTTTCCACTTGGTACGTGCTCTCGTGGGGTTCTTTTCACATGACAACTCCTTGAAACGGTTCTTAGACTGATATAGCAGTCACACGCCAAGCTTCTTACTTCCTCCCCTCCGCTTCATCCCAGCCAACTTGTTTCAGCGCTTCCTGGATTCCCCCATAACCTCCGCACTCTCTCCACTCGTGCTCTTACTCACCCACTTCCTGGCCTCCAGTGGGCGACTTCGCGGAGGACAACACGTTTCAGCGCTTCCTGGACTACTGGAGCGCGCAGTCGTTTGACAAGTTCCCGGGGCTCATCACCATGCCCGTGACCCCGCGCCTGCGCTACCCGCGCGCGTACGTGCCGTACCTGATCGACACGGTGTGGGCGTTCTACGAGGGCATCAACCACATCATCGTCAACCAGCGTACGCACGCACTCTCGGACGCCCGCACTCCAGCACGCCCGCACACCCGCACGCCGCACGCACGCCGCGCCTTGACTGGATTAGATTTCGTTCTTTCGCTCGCCTCGTTCGCTCCCTCCTCTGTCATCTTTTCACCAAGTAATCGGCATTCATGCAGCATGGACAATCCATTTCCTCCCTTCGCCTAGGAAAACCCTTCCATCTCCTCCTCACTTTCCCGTCCGTCCATCCTCGCCCGTCGTCCCCGCCCTCCATCCCCAGCCCCTCCACGCATCAGCTTGATGGCAGGAACGCTGCGGCGGTGGCGTACAACGAGTCACCAGGGTGCGTGACGCAGCACACACGCGTCTTACTCTCCCTCCTGTTCTCTTCTTTCTCCCGCATCCCAACCCCTCCAGGCAAGAATGTGACGGCCGGGTCCCTGCGGCGGTGCTTCAACAATGAGCCGGCGGGGTGCGTGGCATTCTACGGGGTGACGGGGCAGATGGCGTTCAACGGCAGCACGGGCGAGCGCGCCAAGGACCGCGTGCGCCCCGCCTACTCGGTGCAGCAGCTCGCCAACGCCACGTGGCACGAGGTGGCGGACTGGTCTCTCGCGCGTGGGGGAGATCGGTTGCAGTTTAGTGCGGAGAGCGTGCCGCAGCCGGGACAGGTGGGTTGGGTTGGGGGTGTGTGTGTGTGTGGGTGGGTGGTAAGATATGTGTGAGTGTGAATGGTCAATCTGCTTGCTCTACTTCCTCGGCCCACTGCCTCTTACCAATCACTTTCCTCTGTCCTTCACATTGTCTTTCCTACCATTGCGAGGGCTCGGCTGTGCTTCTCATTAACTCCCTCACCGTTTACTATCCCTCTTCTTCTCTCTCCCCTCTCACACTAACCAGGCCCCCAGCGGGTTGAGTGGCGGCGCGATTGCACTGATAGTCCTCGCAGTGCTGGCGGTGCTGGGCGGCGTGGCAGCGTATGTGGGGAGAATGATGTGGGACAAGCGGCGGCACATCCACCACATGGGCTCATCTTTCAACGCACAGCCGCTCGCCATGGCTGACGAGATGCAGATGGAGCGGGGCAAGGTGCGCCTCATATAGAGCAGCATTGCGTGATAGTAGCTCGGCCTTGGCTTGAGCAGCTGGGCCTGAGCTTGCACAGTGACAAAGACAATACAGGCTTGGCTTGGCTGAAGTCAGGAAGGGGAACAGCCATTGGATGGAAGCTGGGCTGATCCCTGTAGGGGAGGGAGATGATATACGTACACATCCCGGTGTTATAGGAAAGGGTACTAGAGCAGTGCCCGTTATAGTGTGGCCACTGTATCAACAATATATAACGCTCATGAAGTGTAGCTACGAGATATGAGGTTCCTGCTGTGCCATGCATGCACCCTGTTTGCCATCTGCTAGCATGACTCAATGTTACGGTATTACGGAAAGATTGCTGGAAACTAATGCAGGTTGCAATCTTAATGCTGGTATTGCCCCAGGGCCAACCTTACTGGTACCAGTAGGTTGGTTGGTGGTAGTAGAGCTTTCAGGGCTACTCATGCAGCGACAAACGAAAGTACAGTGGCAGCAATACCATACAACTCCATTGGTGGAAAATAAAACTCCAGGCACAAGCCCCAAAGATCATATCCTAATCATTAGTCTTCAATAAGATGAAATCGGGTTAAGCTCAAGATGTGGCTGTGTGCAAGCTCGTCTATGTGCATGGTGCATGAGTGCTGAATACCAGGATGCATGGTGGTGTGCCAATGCATGCGCGTGGTGCATTGCAAGTATGAGTGTGCCTAAGAATGTCAGTCTCTGCGTATATACGTGCATGCTTGTCGTCAAGTGTGGTGATGCATGGCATGGCGAGCGCATCGGTCAGGGCTTGACGCACTTGCCCTTGCGCATGGCATAAGGCTCCTTGCAGAAGCACGTTCCGCGGAAGTCTGCAGGCTTGCACACCGCGTTGGTGGGGCACTTCACATCAGCGCACAGGTCTGCACCGGGGCACACCGGGGTTGATGATGGGCAAGACAGGTAGGGAAGGGCAGGGTTGAAGCAGCTTCAAGTGCGGGGTCACACACAGGGGAGCAGGGGAGATAGTGCACAAGGCTGGTGTGGAAAACTGGTGTGAGAAGCTGTTGTGGAAAGATTGTGTGTTGACAAGCTAGTGTAGAAAGCTAGTGTGAAAAGCTAGTGCAGAAAGCTAGTGTGAAAAGCTAGTGCAGAAAGATAGTGTGAAAAGCTATTGCAGAAAGATAGTGTAAAAATCTAGTGCAGAAAGATAGTGTGAAAAGCTAGTGCAGAAAGATAGTGTGAAAAGCTAGTGCAGAAAGATAGTGTGAAAAGCTAGTGCAGAAAGATAGTGTGAAAAGCTAGTGCAGAAAGATAGTGTGAAAAGCTAGCGCAGAAAGATAGTGTGAAAATCTAGTGCAGAAAGATAGTGATGGCCTACTACCGCTCCAGACCAATGGCAAATTACCAATGCATTTGTTTCTGCGCTTGACCAGTGGGGGCGAGCAGGAGCACACGGCCGTGCCGTTGACAGCCTTACACACGGATGGTGCAGCACAGCGCGCTGATGCACAGGGGTCTGGTGGGGGGAGGGCAGGGAGGGAGAGTGAGGGGGGACGTGAGGAAAGGCGGTCAGGATGGAAGCTTGGAAAGTCTAACTGCTCCTTACCACGTGAATGGACGTGGTATGAAGTGGAGGGATGCTGCACGATGCGGCATGGAGCGGCATGAGGTGGCTTGGCATGGCATGTAAGAGCATGGACGATGAAACCAAGTCTACAGTAGCTGTGCACAGGAAGCAACACCGAGAAGATGCTAGTGGCAGAGCAGGAGCAGGAACAGAGGCACGGCGGCGAGAGGACACGCACCGCTGTTACCGCCGCCACCGCCGCCACTGCCGGTCTGCTTGACGCACTTGTTGCCTGTCATCACTTGCCCCTTGGGGCACACGCACTTCACCTTGCCGCTCACCACCTTGCACGCGCTGCCGCCCGGACACTTGGTGGTCATGCACAGGTCTGCAGAGAAGGAGGTGGGAGAAGACGAAAAAGAGGAGAGTTGTTTTAGAGAATAACCAGTTGACGCCTACGAAAAGGTCAGGAAGGATGGGAAAGAGAGAAGCGCAGGGAAACTGACACGAGGAAAGTGGCGGTTACCGACGGAGGACGAGGAGGGGTGAAAAGGGTGGGGAGGCGAGGGGAGTGGAGCGGAAGGGGAGGGGGGGGGGGGGGGGTAGGTTGTTGAGTTAAGAAGGAGGAGGCACCTTTGCATTCGGATCCGACGACGTAGTAGGGCGGCTTGCACCTACACGTGGCGGAACCATCGTCGTCCACCTCGCACACTCGGTTGGTCGCACACCGCACCGTCGCGCACGTGGCTGGCGACACAGACGAAACGGGTCCGAGAGATTGTGCACCGCACGGGAAAACGAAAATGACGGAAGTGACTTCCTAGCTCTATAATAAAACAATGAAAGGTACACTCAGCGGAAGAATATCTATGCGGGCTGCCTGATGCCGCGAATGAGTAGAGCGGGGTTGATCGTGCGACATAAGGCAAGAACGGAACGGCATGGGGTATTACGAGCTGTGAAGATGCGAGGGTGTGCGACGAGAGAGAGTGCCATGGCGGATGTTTGTGCGAGTGATGTCGAGACGAACGGATATAGTTGTACGGTGAACACACGCATGAAAGGGGCAGAATGCAGACGCGAGAAGAGAAGAACATGGGACGGAGACGGGGAGGTGGCGTACGAAGTAATTTTGCGGTCAATCGAGTAAAAAGTGTAGAGTGGACTCTAAAAGAACGGCACACCGAGGCGCTTGTGATGGGTTCTTAAACCAGGTCAAAAATGTTGAATGGGGTTAAAAGGAGCGGCGTACAGAGGCATTTGTCCTGCGACTTGAAGAAGCCGGTGTTGCACTCGCACGACAGAGAGCCGTTGGTGTGCTTCACGCAGCGAGAGTTGGCGGTACAGCGCACCGACGAGCACGTTACTGGGATGGCTGGTTGGGTGGACGGATATAGTGCGAGCGGGTGGCGAGAAAGAGAGTGACAAGGGAGTTGAGGGACAGAGAGGGAGGGAAGGAGGAGGGACAGGGAGAGGAAGGGGAAGGGTGGGAGTGGGAGGGGGGGAGGGAGAGGGAGAGGGAGCAAGAGGGGGAGGGAGCGTGAGGGGGAGGGAGAAAGAGTGAGGGTGAGAGTGAGGTTGAGAGTGAGGGTGAGAGTGAGGGTGTGTGTGTGTGTGTGTGTGTGTGTGTGAGAGAGAGAGAGAGAGAGAGAGAGAGAGAGAGAGAGAGAGAGAGAGAGAGAGAGAGAGAGAGAGAGAGAGAGAGAGAGAGAGAGAGAGAGAGAGAGAGAGAGACACACACAACTCGAGAAGCACAGAGAACGAGAGAGAGAGAGAGAGAGAGAGAGAGAGAGAGAGAGAGAGAGAGAGAGAGAGAGAGAGAGAGAGAGAGAGAGAGAGAGAGAGAGAGAGAGAGAGAGAGAGAGAGAGAGAGAGAGACACACACACACACAACTCGAGAAGCACAGAGAACGTCGATTCCAGCAGAGCGCACCACGTAGTCTTCAAGCCACTAAGAACCTACCTTTAGCGTTGGCGGCAACAGCAGCGGCGAGAAGAGCGAGTAGGAGAATAACGCACGCGCTAGGCCGACTCATGGGAGATGGCTGCCTCATCGTAAGAACGCGCAGACACACAATCCGTTCCAGCTGGGCTTCCTACAAGAAAAAAGGTATCTGAAATGTGAACGCAGATAGAGTGTAAATGGAACACCGTGGAGTGGAGCCTTACTTTGGCCCTGAGAGACACCACAAGCACAATGTGGTGCACGTGGGCTTGATAGACTTCAGATGAACTTCTTGAGGGACCACCCGACATCGCAGCGCCCACCCAACCCAGCACAGCGAAGTGAGGCGAGAAATTCGCGCAGCACTTTCGAATCCCCGCCGCGCGTCACGGAAAGCACAGTAAGTGTACGATTTGTCTTGCCATAAATACGATAGTGTAGAAGTCTTGTATGAAATTATGGCTAGAGTGAAGAAAGTGCTCATGGATTCTGCATAAAAGCTCTCGTGGAGGATACATTATAATGACAAAAAAAAAGCTTCATAGTGGGCAAGCTTCATAAATAAAGTGGCAAGTGAGACACGCGTTACAGTTGTATTCAAATGGACGAGCACAACAGCACCCATGTTCCAACCAACCGTCCTAGCCCTTCATCTACCTTGCGGTATATTCTCTTCTCTTCCGTATCTTGCATTGCATACCCTCTACATCTTACTGTACAGTAACAGCACAAGAAGTCATCTACATCCGAGGATGACATTTCTCAGCGAATGTGAAAGAACAGCTGGGATACTATATTTACAAGACCAAAAAATGCCATCTTGTAAAATAATGGCTTCGCGCAGGCAGCTAGCATGTGCCATCATCAGAAAACCTACACTGCATGGGGAACAAGGGCCACTATACAAGTTACAACTGATATAAGGGAGGGTAGCTACTCTCGACAGCAGGTGAACCACAAACTGCTCAGCACTATTCACAGGGCAGCTCGAAGCTGAGATGGAGTGGATTGTCGACAAGAGACGGGACCTGGGAGGCAGATATACCACCTGAAGATGCCCTCCCATGTGTGCAATCATACGTGCGCACTGCCGAGGTACCTTCCCCTCACATGCGCATCACCACACGGCTGGACAAGATCACAGCCCCCACAATTGCACGGACCAACACTCGCTCCTTATAAATGCTGGCCATGGGGAAGAACAGAAAAGATGAGGATGAAACGGGAGAAAACATCAACTTCCGCACAGTTTAAACAGCAGTTAAGCTGAAGGCCTTGAAAGGAAACATACAAGAGAACAGCAAGAATCAGAACACCGGGAAGCAAGAGCCCACCTGACAAGGAAAGAGGTGGCACAGGCAGTCTTGTACGCCCCTCGCCCCCACTGGTACATCTGCTTCAGCAGACCCTGGCGCCGTATGTGCTGGATGCCACTTGACAACGCTGTGCTCGTGAATTAACACACACCAAAATAGAGCGGGATAGGGAGTTGGGTTGGATAAGGTATTGCTTCCAGGTGTTGAGGACGTCAGAGGAACCGTGCATGATCAAGAGAGCACACGACACCAGATTAGGAAAAGGAGAAAAGCTGAAGGATAGAATCTGAAGAGCAAAGCTGAAGGAGAAAAGCTGAAGGTGCAGTGGATGGAGTGCTGGGTAGTGAGTTAGAATGGACTCATCACCTTTTTCCAACTCCTCTGGAGAGAGAGACTGGACAATCAAATCAGCCATTCACAACACAGCGAGAGAAGAACAGAGGGAAAGAAAAGCGGAAGATATGCTGTAAGGAGGAAGCGTGACATAGCAACACATACAGGCATGCTTTGCGAAACGGTGCAAGCAGGGAAGCGAGTCAGCTACAATACGCCAGTACAACGGTCAATACAGGTGAGAGGAGAACGGATGGGGAAGCGGGAGGGGCAAGTGAAGGCAACGAAAGGAAACTGAGAAACGGGAGGAGGCGAGAGCTTTGGGAGAAAAAAAAAATGGGGAAGGCAGTGGGAAGACGCAGGAGGGGGATGGCGGGGAAGGGTATGGGTGGTAGAGAGGGAGGAAGGCTGGTGGGGGCGGGCGAGACGATCACAGCAACCAGTGAGCACCAACGCAACCCAGCAGCAGCAGCAGCAGCAGCGGCGGCGGCGGCGGCGGCGGCGGCGGCGGCGGCGGCAGCAGCAGCAGCGGCAGCGGCAGCGGCAGCGGCAGCGGCAGCAGCCGCAACCGCACCTGGTACTCAGGGTGCAGGGCGATGTAGCGAGCGAGCACGTGAGCAATGCCATCCACCACCTCCTCCACCTGCACCACCTCGTACGCGCCCTCGCCCTCCAGTGCCTCGCACGGCTCGCTCCCGCGGATCACGCCCGCGTCCATGTCCGTCACCCACTGCCACCACTCCTCGCCCTCGCCCTCGCACTCGCTCTCGCCCTCGCTCTGGCTTCCGCTTGCGATTCCGCTTGTGCTGGCGCTTCCGCTTGCGCTTGTTCCCCCGCTCTGTGCGCGTCCCACTCGCGGAACTGTTACTTCTATGCGGCCTGGAGGGCGGACGAGTTGCGGGGAGCGGAGACGGGGGCGGAGAGGGGAGCGGAGGGGGGGGAGGAGAAGAGGGGGAGAAACAAAGGGGCGGGGGGAAGTAAGGGAGGAGCGGGAGGGAGAGAGGGATGGAGGGACGCGTTACGTGAAAGGACGAGTGTGACGTGCCGCGTTTAAGGCAGTTTGTGGTGAGGCAGTAGACAGGCGCGTGCGAGAATTGCGAGTGATGCGAAATTGGTGCGAACAACGAGCAGTAGGTGCGCGGTGAGGAGCGGTGAGGTGCGCGATGCGTGCGGCGGCGCTACCTGCGTCCACCAACATGCGCGCCGTGCCGTTCGACGTCGCGTCGCCCGTCTTAAGCTCCGGCGGGCCTCGCAGGCGTAGCTGAAACTCGGGCGAGTTCACCTTCAGCTCTATCTGCGCCAACAGCTGTGACAATAATGAAGGCGAGAGTGAGAGAGGAGAGAGCCTGAGCGGGAGAAGATAGGTTCAATAAGGATGCGGGATGAAGTGAGAGGCCATGCGAAGCATGAGCGCGAGCGTTAGCACGAGCCGACGCGCTACGCCAGTCAGGAAGGCCGAAGCGGAGGCTGGCAGGAGTAACGGGACGACGCGGAAGGGAAGAAGACGGAAGAGAGGCGATGGAGGGGGTAGCTTGGGAAGGGGGAAAAAATCACGGCAGGGAAAACCGCAATAAGCATCATCCCGTCCGGATGCTGCGTCATCCCTCATCCCCTCCTTTCCCTCCCTCATCCCCTCATCCTCTCCTCATCCCCTTCGCATCCCTTCCGCTTTGACCTACGTCTTCGTGCTGCTGTTCGCCCGTGCCCACTTTATCGCCCATCCACGCGAGGTCCTCCGCGCGTTGCTGCAGCAGCTCCGTCGCCGCCATCTTATACTCCTCCAGCATCGCCTGCAGCCGCGCGTTCTCCGCGCGCTCGCGCGCCACGCTCCCCTCCAGCCGCATCGTCGCCTCTTCGAGAATCTTAAGAGCGTCCCCGCGCCGCGTGCGCTTTGAGACGAGGCTCGACACGCGCGACCATCCCGCCTCCGCAAGCTCCGCTGCCAGGAGGATGGGATGGAGGGCTAGCATGGCGGCGCGCGGATAGGAGAAGAGCGGTGAGAGGTGTAGATTCGTCTTACTTTCCTCTAATTAGTGGGAAAAGGTGAAATAGTCCTAAGTCTACTTGGTAGGTAAGTGAATCTGTGTTAAAGCTTCTTCGGTAACTAATTAGACAGCAATGGTCTAGCTGGAGGTGTCATCCCCTGTCACCTCACCTCACCATCACCAACACCACAAACACCACCCACTGACAACTCAAGAAAATACCCTTTGTCGACGACATATCGAGGTGCAAAACGGTTAGAGAATATCTTTCGCGTTTCTGTACGGTTCGGCGTGCTTCTGCGAGCTCGATGCCACAAACCCCTTTGACATGGCACATCACTCAAGCGCGATGAGCGAAGAGGGGAGGAAGGGGATGCAAAATACCCGCCAGGCGACAAGACTACAAGAAGCTTCCAAACCAATCAGTCAGGCTCGGGACTTTCAAAACCGGTTCCACTTGGATGTACAGTCGATGCTCAGCCTATCACAAAACATTTGCTCCTCACAATTAGAAATTTAGTCACTCACGAACGTTTTGCCCGTGAGTGACTAAATTGACCATTGTGCCGATTTCAGGGTACAGTCACCAAGTTGAGGAAGAAAAACATCTACAGTTCATAAACAACAACGGTTGCCCGTCATCAGAGAAGTCAACCTGGTTACAAAATTAAAGCCCTTAACTCGTTTCACGTTGCAATTTCATATTAGGGCGTATCCAACTTCGGGTCATCAGCACTGTTCATTCAACTGTTTGGGGCATCCGCAAATCACGCATGCCCCGAACTCAACACCGGAACCGCGCGCGGCTCGAACTTCGGGTCATCCTGCAACCTCTTGAAATTGAAGTAAAGGATTAGGAAGGGTAAATCGCAAGTAGAGAGAAAGAAAACTCATAGAAGAAAGAGTTAAGAGTGAAGTAAGACAAAATTGATAAGATAAAGAAACCTATGAAGAAGAGATTGAGTAAGAACGTAAAGGCTAAAAAGGTTAAGGATAAAAATAACAAACTTGAAAGGAAGATGATGAAAACATTAAAGGGAGAGAACAATTGATTGAAAGAAAGATATTAAATGGGTGATTGATGAGAAGGTAAAAGAGCTTGAAAATTAAACAAACTTGATAATGGAAACTAAGATTTGAGAAGAAATGAGACTTGATAAGAATGAAGAGGCTTTGAATAGGGAAGCTTTAATTGAGAAACTTGACAAGAGTGAAAAGAGGAGGTGACTTACCTTAAAGAGTCTTACTTGTCATTTTGAAGGAGCTTTGTAACTTGAAGAAGCCAAGCTTGAATTGTGAATCTTGATTGTTGGAAGGAGAGTGAGATCCAAGCTTGATTGTTGAGTAGTAGATCTTGATTGTTGAGTGGAGAAGCACCTCCAAGCTTGAGTGTTGAGGTGTAGATCTTGTTTATTGTGTAGAGAAGAACCTCCAAGCTTGAGTGTTGAAGGTGAAGCTTGAGTCTTGATTAGAAGAAAGTCAAAGGTTGATGTTGAGGCCTCAAAACTTAAAATGCACTAGTCCAAAGGAGGTACATGATGGACTTAAAGAGCAACCATTGATAACAATCTAGTAGAAAGACTATGAAGCATAAGCTTCTCTAGAGTTGGAGAACATGGCTATGAGCTTGGATTGGGAGAGGTTGGTGGTGAGTGGAGCCTTAGGAGTTGGGCATGAGGAGGAGGACTTTGAAGTGGCCTTGTGAGAGCTTGGAGTAGAACTTGTGGAGAGCTTAGGTAAAAACTTGCTTGAAAAGTATGAGTGAAAAATGGGGTGGACCCTTTGTTTTGTATTTGGTGGAGCTTGAGGTTGGATGAAGGAGAGGAGGAGATGAATGATTGTGATTGGTTAGGTTGGATAAGGTGGGGGTGATGAATGTGGCCTTGAAGTGAAGGCTTTGTGAAAGTTTAAAAGGAAGAAGAGAATTGCACTAGCAAGAATGAGGATACAAATAGCAAACCCTAGAAGGGTTGTACTCGCTATAGAGCACCCCACTACAGGCTAGAGCATAAGATAACATTCTGACACACCCCCATAGCCAAAGTGGGGTGTAATCAGCAGAGTAAGCAAAGGAGTACAAGCTCAGGGTGGATCACAATGTCACCACACATTCTGAGCACAAGTTCAAGAAGCAATAGTTTAAGTTCACAATTATGAGCAAAGCTAGTGGTAGTCACAACGGGCAAGTGAGGAGGAGGAGAGAGAGTGAGAGGAGAGGAGATAGGAGGCGACGGCTGAAGCTGCAGACACACAGGCAACAGGAGGCAGACTGGCACAGCGGCTACCAGACGAAGTCCCCGGAATACAGGAGTAACAGGCCCCGCGGCTAAAGTAGCGGCAGACGAGCAACGGACCCACGGGCGGCTGGCACAGCTGGCTACGACTGGGCTACCGGACGAAGTCCCCGGAATACAGGTGCTGCTGGCGACACGACGGCAACCTCCATTCAGCTTCCCCAAACTATCCCACTCCCCCCTGGCACATACCCGCTGCTACACCGCTAGCTCCACTCCCCCTTCACCCCCCCTTAGTACCACTCCACCGGCTCCAACACGTCCACCCCCCCTCAGCGGCAGCTGCAGCACAGGGAGACGGAGGAGGAGGAGGAGCAGGGAACAGTACACAGTGGGTGCACCCCCATACCCCGCACCCCCAAACCCTAATACAGGAGAATGGGGAGTAGGAGGGGTGGGGCACGAGTAGAAGCGCTGGGGGACAGTAGGGAGGGCAGGGGCAGCAAGGAGCGGGCCCACCACGGGCCTGGTAGGGTCGCCCGAACCGCGCGTAGGCGGCCTGAGCCGCGCGCGGGCCTGGCGCCGCCCGTACGGGCCGCGCGCGGGCCTGGCGCAGCCCGTACGGGTGGCGCGCGGGCCTGGCGCAGCCCGTACGGGTCGCGCGCGGGCCTGGCGCAGCCCGTACGGGTCGCGCGCTGCCTGTACGGGCCGCGCGCAGGCCACGACGGGCGACGGGGGGCGACGAACGGGTCCCCGTCGCCCGTCGCGGCGCCTCCCGAGGGCGACGCGACGGTTGACGGGGCCGAAGCCCGCCGCGCGCCTCGGGGCGCACAGCGGGCAGAGAACCGCCGCGCGCCTCGGGGCGCACGGCGGGCAGAAAACCGCCGCGCGCCTCGGGGCGCACGGCGGGAAGAAAACCGCCGCGCGCCTCGGGGCGCACGGCGGGAAGAAAACTGCCACACGCCACGGGGCGTGCGGCACCGAGTGTAGTGGTAGGAGTTGCAGCGGAAGCTAGGAGGTGGTAAGCCCACCCACAGGATCGATCCAAGGGGATCGACCTGCTCTGATAGCATGTGAAAGTTTAAAAGGAAGAAGAGAATTGCACTAGCAAGAATGAGGATACAAATAGCAAACCCTAGAAGGGTTGTACTCGCTATAGAGCACCCCACTACAGGCTAGAGCATAAGATAACATTCTGACAGGCTTGGTGAGTGGGATGAATGTGGCCTTGAAATTAAGGCTTGGTGATTGGAATGAATGGGGCTTTGATTAAAGGCTTGGTAGGGAATCTTTGGATTGATTGGTGGAGTTTGGGATGAGAAGGTTGAAGAGGATTGGAGAAGATATGAGGTGGAGGATTGAAGGATTTGTATTGGGTGAAAATGGAAGTGTGCCTTGCTGACTGGAGATAAGGATGATGAAGTGGCGAATGGGTAATGTTGGTAGATGCCCTTTGCAGATTCGAATTTTGGCTGACGGGGAAACAGTGGCGAAAATTTTCGCCACGTGAAATTTTTCCCGCCACCCTGGTGCCACGCGAGCAGCAGCAACAGTTCATTCCAACACCCCCCCGCACTGCTGACCCTCAGAGCGAGAAGAAGGAGCGGAAGGGACAGCAGTGGAGAAGCACTCAAGAGACTCGATCGGCATCAATCCGGCGCGGTGGCGGCCAAGAAGAAAGAGGTGCCGGGGGAGGATCTTAGTCAGGAAGTCAGCAGCCTGGTCCGTGGTGCTGCAGTAGGCCGGTGTCACAACTTTGTTCTTAATCAGCTCTCGAATGTAGTGATACTGGGTATCAATGTGCTTTGTGCATCCATGATAGACCGGGTTCTTGCTCAAGGCGATCGCCGATGTGTTGTCAATGTGCAGAATGGTCGGCTCATGCTGGGGAAGACCCAACTCTGTCAGCAACCCTCTCAACCACACAGCCTCTCTTGCTCCTTGCGTCACAGCCATGTACTCCGCCTCCGTTGAAGATAATGCCACACAGCCTTGCTTCTTCGATTGCCAAGAAATAGCTGCTCCCGCTATCACAAACATGTAGCCTCCAGTGGACTTCCGCTTTGAAAGAGGACCTGCCCAATCCGCATCCGTGAAACCATGCAAGACATTACCATGCTCATGTCCATGAAAGAAGAGACCAAAAGATTTAGATCCGGAGAGGTAGCGCAGGACACGCTTCTTCAAGTGCTGAGTAGATGGCGCGGAAAGGAACTGAGAAAGCACGCCCACAGCATGAGAGAGATCTGGGCGGGTGCAGACGGATGCGTACATGAGGCTACGGACAATGCTCTGGTAAAGATTAATGCCGAGGGGGGAAAGGAGTGATGAAGGAGGTGCGTTGGAAGAAGAAGGGGATGAAGAGGATGAAGGTGCAAGAGCCTCGTGGAACTCGTCCCAGTCAGAAAAGGGTTCAGTCTGAGAGGGCTGATGGTCAGAAGTGGAAGGGGAAGAATGCTGAAAAGTAGAAGGGAGAGGTGTAGATGCAGGATTGCAGGTGAGGAGGCCGAAGCGAGAGAGGACCTTGTGAATGTATCGCTCTTGGGAAAGAAATAGAGAGCGAGAAGGACGGTCATGAATGATGTTCATGCCAAAGTAATATGATGGCTCACCCATGTCTGTCATGACGAACTCCTTGGTGAGCATACCTTTGATGTGGGTGAGAAGGGAGAGAGAACCTGACACCATGAGGATGTCATCCACATATACTATCAACCACAGTACCTGATGCACCTCCGTGTGCAGGATGTA